CCCCGGCAACGGCGCCGTCGGCGGAGGCAGGAGCCCGGGTCCGGCGGCAGGATGGTGGGTGAGCGGCGGCGGGGCGGGGGGCAGAGGGCGAGCGCGGCGCTTCCCTCACCCTCCGTGCGGGGGAAGCCTTACCGAGGCCCCCCGCCCCTGCTCTGACCCGGTCCCGTTCTGCTCTCTCTGCCCAGATGCTCTCCCGTGCTAAGCCGGCCGTGGGGGGTACTCCGCCGCCGGGAGACAGGCGGAGGAAGAAAGGGAAGAAGGTGCCGCAGCTGGAAGAGCTCCTGGCCCTGAGGGACTTCACCGGCGCCATCGCTTTGCTGGAGGTAACGGCGGCGTGAGGGGGTTGGAGACCCTGGCCCGAGGAGGGCCCTCCTGGGCCTCCCGCTCCCCTCGGGAGAGCGGTACCGCCGGTGCCCGACGGGGCGGCGGGGCGGCAGGAGCCTTTCCCCGGCCTTGTGTCCCCCTCGCCTCCTTCCGCACCCCTGGGCGGCCGCTTTCCCCCCTCACTTCACAGGACGAGGTTTGGCATGTGAGGGTTGCCGGCTCCTGCCCTCAGAAATGTGGGACCGGCTCCACCCCGGTAGCACCCACAGATGTCAAACCATCCCTGATCTGAGGGCCTAGTACTACTTCGATTATCTGTGGGGCTTTATAAACTGTGTGGCAGCTGACAAAATTCTTATGTTCTTTCCTCCGGGTGAAGTTTAAACGGCACGTGGGTGAGCAGCAGGAGGATACTGACCTTTGGATCGGATACTCTGCCTTTCATTTGGGGGACTACAAGAGAGCACTGGAGGTAAGGTGGGGAAATCCTGCTCCCTGAGGCTGGAAATAGGGATGTCGTGATAAAGCTGATGGCAACAGGAGGAAGAGGTTCTGTAACGAGGCACAGTTCTGCCAGCCAATTAAAGTACAAATGTACAGTAATAAAGCAGATGATGTGGAAAGCAGTTCGGATTGGGAAAGAAAAAGGTATTTGCCTATTAAAATAGAGCTTTTTTAATGTTATCTGCTGTCTGATTTATACTAGACTCGGTAGCCTAATTTGCCCTTTTAGATGTCATAGGTCATGTCCTAAATTTTCCATTCCCTTTTTGCAGCTGGCTTTCCACAGTTTTGTTTTAATTATGTCCTTTGGTTTAATTATATCCTTGTATTCATTGTTTAGCTTATCTTTACTATGTGTGCTTTTGTAATTCTTTCCTTAGCAGTTGATGCCCCTGGCCATTTATTGTACTTCATTGTTGTTGTATATGTCTTCTTTCAATTAAATGAGACATCCTTATTCTCCAAAAGCTTTAAGTCAAGAAAAGACATGTAGATTATTCAAATACATTTATACTTTTAATATTTGCACCATATAGTACTGTTTTGTCTCTTTCAGTGTATGAGTCCAAATGCAATTATTTCTCCTGTGTCCCTTTATGTCTCCAATTAAACTCAGTTTGTTGCCAGTGTCCCAGGGATCCCTTTATCTTCTCAGTAGTGCTAGTGTATTTCTCTGTAGAAGTCTTAAATCTGTGTTGTCTGCTTTGCTCTGTAGCTCCAAGGGCTGGAATCAGTGTGCACACTAGAACAGGGACAGTTGTGGAGTGGTGTGGTGATACCCACAAGGCTGTGTATAAGCTAGTGAAGATTTGAAAACAACTCAGTCTTTCTGAGTATTGTTTGTCTCATTGCTGTATTCTTACAGATGTGAATTGCTGGGTCCATACAGTGCTGTATCTCATCATTTAAAGCTTACTGGTTTCTGTCAGTGTCAGCTGGGGGAGATTTCCATTGTGATTCACGGTGAAGCATAACTGTGAAGCATAGCTGGTTTTGCAGTCTTTTGACTTGATTTCCCTGGAAGAAATATCAAAAACAGATGATAATTTCAATTATTGATGAAAGCAAATAACCATAGAGAAATAGATTATGGAACAACAATGATATTTCTCTTAGATAAAATTAAGTACTTAACTATAGTAATAAGTCATCATGTGCACAATATTTTTACATGAGGCGGAAGTTGAATTTCTAAAGCTTCCAAGTAAGTTCACAAGGCACTTTTCCCCGTAAAAAACTGAAGAGGAATCATCCTTTGGAGATGTTGGAAATGTTCAGTGAATCAAATTGACAGTATACATGGTATAGAATGTAGAATAGCAGTATCGGACATAGTGGTAACTTAATATTCATGTTCAGAGTTGTGGAATTTAAAGGTTACTAATGTAAGAATCAGTTCTTGTAGTTAATTTATATCTAGAAGTTAGGAGTTAATAGAGTTAATAGTTAGGAGTGAAAGAAAAGAAAAATGTTTGTATGCAAATCAAAAATAGTAGAATTTATTTCGGAGAAATTACAGGCTATTTGGAACACCCAGTAGGTGCTTTTGTAGCCAGAGTAGATTTTAAATGTTTCCTTCAACGAAAGGGTAACGGCTTTTTTTATTTTTTTTGTTTTTTTAGAGATTAGGTTTTGTATGTTGTGTTTGATTCACCACTAGGTGATGCTGTTGATTTAGGCTTTTAGAAACTGCAAGAGTCCTCTGTTTTTCCCGTTTTTCTGCCCAAGTAAGGACAATAAAAGGTTTGGATGCATGGTTTGTGGTTGGTTGGTTTTTGTGTGTGTGTTAAGTGAAAGATCACTTATATCAGTCTTATCATATATCAGTCACTTATGACTGATAACTTTGTCATTTTTAGTGGCATACAGGAAATGAGCCTGTGCATCTCAGCCTAGTTTTTTGGGACAGAACACTGTAGTTATGATTCCCAAGCCTGTAGTAATCATGGGAAAGAGTGCTGACTGCAGAGGCTGAATTGCCTTTCAGTTATCAGCTTCAAGGTTGAAGTATAATGCCGTATCTCCTCTGCTATGTTACAGAGGCATTGTTGCTGTATTCTCAAGGACAAATTCCTTGATTATCTATACCCTCTAGATCTTTGAGCGCTCTTTGGGGGTGTGCCAAGAGCACTGTAAATAAAGTACTATGGGTAGATGATTTTGCAGAGTTCTCCAGAGTGATATTGCACATAATATAAATGATTCACACTCCTGAGTGCCTGCAAGTGACAACACATAGTCTGTGTTACTATATTCCCAGTTCATGGTTCGTATTGCATATACCTGATGAAGGTCTTCAGAAATTATGCTGCTTTTATTTATAATGATACTTTAGTAGTGAGCCAGGCATGCTGGTTGCATGGCAACTTTTGGAGAGGCTTGGGGTGAGGTGGCCATCATCCACTACTGGGAGAAGCAGGGGAAAAAATGAAAAATGCACAGACCTCCAGCTCCAAGAGTATCTCCAGACAGAAAGACAGCAAAATATCTGGCACATTCACATGAGACAATTCACATTCTCTTATCATAGGCTCGCCAACAGATATTCTCTAGATGAAAGTGCTAACCTCAGCTTCATGAGGGTCACACTTTCACCTTCATAGTAGGGAGATGCCTTTCTCGAAGGATATGCCACTGACACTGGTCTCGTGGGATCATTCCTACTGCTGTACACCGGTTTACAAATGATGCTGCACTGGATTCAACTCTTCCAGCAGTCATGGTGGCAGTCCCTCCCTGGGGACTGTCTAGCTTCCTTCACTGACAAACTCATTTTTACCGAGTTGCTAGCGTGTTCCTGGCAACCAGAACTTCCGTAGTAGATGGCAGCATCTAATTAGTTTTCTGGAGTATTCCACATCTGCTGTCCCTAATGGAGAAAACCTACCCATCCTCCTGCCATGATTTGTTCATAGTACTAATCTTAAGCCTGAAAAAAGCAACAGAATGAGAGCATCAGTCTGATGATTCTGTTTCTGAGCTGCCTGATCTTACAAATTGAAGCAGCTGGGGTCTAGGGTGATAAGAGAGGAATTGGGAAGGGCAGGTGCAGTGCTAGGTTGGGTTCAAGAACAGGTTTCACATCTGCACTCTGCACATTACCATGCACTGCACAGGATGCTGGCACGGTACAGCCGCCAGACAAGGTAATGCCATTTTGGTTCATCAGCCACATGTGTGAGAGCAAAGGATGGTCCCTGGGCCAGTCTTCAATGCATTGTTTCTGTCAAAATCTCACCAACAACAGCCACCAATTCCAGCAGTCTCTCTTATCTGCCACCTCCCTCCTAGCAGAGAATCAGGGGACATTTCACCTCTTCACTGGACAGGGCCTCCTGTCTACCCTTACTGTTCAGGATAATTTCAAATAGTAAATCGTGAAAGGAATTGGGCTATACTAGAGTAATGGCTCCTTCATAAGCAGCATCTGGTCTTGCTTGAGTACTGCTGGAAGCGTGAGAATACAGGTACATTGAAGTTCCTGACAGCTGAAGCTAGAAAGTTAAAGATGGATTTTTGGCTCGGAAAAGTTCTCTAGGATTCTCTGTCATGACTGTAGCCAGGTTACAATTAGTATCTCCACACCTCTTTTGAGTACTTGTGGGGCAGCCCTGTAGGCTAGCCTCTTTCTTGGATCTTCAGGGTCTGTGTTTATGGGCTTGGAGAATCCAGACAAGAAATAAGGGCACTGGGCAAAATCCCACTGCATCCCATCAGCATTGTCAGTAGGTGCCCATAGTTGTAGGTTTTGAGGAAAAGCCATGTGTCCTGTGATACAGGCGAGAGGTGGAGTAGGGTGAAAAAGCAAGAAGTTGTGCTCCTGGCTGGCAAAAATATACCACAGGTTGGTGTTTTGGAGAGGAGCAGGAGAGAGCTCTTGTGAAGTAGTCTCTGAGAGACTGATGCTGAATGCCTCTTAGTGAGGAAAGGGGAAAGAGCGCATAGTCTGGGCTCATGGCCCAGAACTACAGGGCAAGGAGCAGTAATAGTCCTCGTTTTTATTTACTGTGTTTCCATAGATTCACATTGGTGCTGCTAGAGCACTCTTTATTTATTGCTTGCTTTGAATGGCCAAGCCAGAACATGACTTGTGTTTATGCACTTTGTCTTTTCTAATTAATCTGCCTGAAGCCATAGCTGAGAGAGACCTTTGGGTGCATTTAATCTGGATGGTTTTTGAAAGATTCCAGATGGTCCCAATGAACAGGAGTGGCCTGTCTCTCAGAGCTTCGTGACAGGCGTATGTCAAGACTGAACTGGCCTCAGTAGGAAAGGTTGGCTTCTATGTGAATGTTTTCTTTTTTACTGTTTTTTTTTTTTTAATTTTATTTTTATGCTTCTTAAAGGACAGCTAGTTGCTGAAGTACTGGCAAGACTGAGCTGGCTTTTAAGGACATACCTTACCGATATCTTCTCTGTTTGGGAGTGGAGTTTACTTTCACTTGGCAACAGAAAAAAAAAAAAATCTTTATGCTTGCAAACTATAAACTTTATTGTTGTCAGCATGTTTCTGTTCTTGGGATTCTCTGTCCTTTGGGCATGGCTTATTTTAACTAGTGCTATATATACATCTGTGCCTTTTTCCCAGAGGTAAGAAGTCTTCCAACCATAGTGGCACAATCTGGTAAACTTTCCCTAGGCAGAGGGAAATTCCAGTTCATATGTTTGAAGGAAGAGTACAGAGTTGGCAAGGGGTTGTGTTGTTAGGAGAGAGGAAAGGCTGATGGTGATTGGGAGTATGTGGAAGGCATTCTTTCAGTGGGTCATGCGAGAACTTTGTGTTACCCTGCCTGCTTTGCCTTATGCTGCCTGTTAGACAAGGCTGAATGGAGAACTGGAGCACCAGCAGGAGGCACTTTCACTGGGATGGTTGTTCCTAGGAATTTAACAGAAACCTGACAGAGGGGAAAAAAAAAAAGTCAGAGAGAGGTCTCCCTGCCTCTGTTTTTAGTACCTATTGTTACACAGAGCAAATATGTTTATCTTCAGGAATATAAATATGTTTATCTTCAGGAATACTGTTCAGTAGCTGCAAATTTTTCAATCTCTTAAAAAAGTAGATTGAAAGATTGATCTGTTCGGTTTTTACCGTCTCACAAATAACAAGAAATGAAGCAGTTTATGCACCAGTATTAAGGGATATGTAATGAATGTGGATGTGTAAGAAGGATCAGAATATGGTATCTAGTGGTTTCCTGTAGCTGTTGGCTGTAAATTTTAAAATGGGAAATGGTGAAGTTAACATATCTTATGTTAAAATGTAATAGTTTAGTTGTAAGAAGTCCAGTGCACTTGTGAATAAATCCTGTGATCTCAATAATTTAATGATATATTGTAAAATGGTGGAAGAAAGAATGGTATTTACTACAAGTCTGTGCTATTACCATTTTTAAAAAAACAACCCTCCTTTCTGTTACAGGAATATGAGGCCTTAACCAAACAACCATCTTGTAATCCAGATGTTTGGGTGAACCTTGCCTGTACATACTTCTTTCTGGGAATGTATACGCAAGCTGAACAAGCAGCCTTGAAAGGTGAGATGTAGGTCTCTGATGGACAGGACTACTTGTTGACTTGAACAATTAAAGTGATTTCCAGAAAAAGTATTTAATATTTGGGTTTTTTATAGGTATAAATGATGCTTTTGAGCAAAATTGTTTGGGTTTGAGTTTTTTGGTTGTGGATTGATTTGGGTTTTTTTTTTTTGATTTAACAGTAGAGTTATGATGCAGTTTGCTTCCTAAAAATATCTTGGGCAGGTGGAGTGACTGGAACTAAAAGAAGCATCTGGAAAATCATAGAATCATAGAAATAATTTCTCATAGTAACTTCTAAATACAAAACCTAGCATATGCTGACCAGCAACAAAAGGTTACTTTTCTTTTGACTGATTCCATGTCTGAGCCAGTACAGATGAAGCTAATTAGCTTCATATGATCAAAAAATAAGTATCTGAGAGAGTTCGGCATTCTCCTTGATATGGACAAGAACTCAGTTTACATAGTTGGAGTCACTTAGTATGTGGTCTTGTTGCCTCGTAAGTTAGATATTAGGTATGTGATTCTTCAAGGCGTTGAGTTCACCGCAGTCACAGTGTTACAGTTCTACTTTAATCTGAACGTGCATGGGATCATTTAAAGTATGGGAATGGAAATTAGATTCCAAGGCAATTCTTACAGCCTAATAATGTTGCTGCAGTTTAACTTTGTTACCCATCACTTTCTATTTAACTTAGTGATTTATATTGTTTCCCATAACCATAATATCTTTGTGCTTTCTAAATAGAATTAATAGTAGTGATATAGAAGTTCTCGGTCAACTTGAAGCTCTTACCTTTTTAGGATAAAACTCTTATTGAAGTATGGGTTTTCTCTTTTCTTCTTTCTTTAGTCTTCTAGTCTTGGGCTGAAAATAGGGTAGGGAGGAAATAGTGGTGTACTTTCTGCTACTGTGGAGGAGTGCCTTCAAAAAAGACAGTATTGTAGTATTTTTTAGAAATAATTAGATTCTTGTATCCCTTTAAAATCCTCTGAAAGATCGTGCTGAGCTCCAATACCACAACTGGAAATGTTTTGTTTCCAACTGTAAAAAATTTCACACACAGCTTTGTGATCTGTATTGTTCAAGATGTGTAAATTTCTCATATCCACAGATAATTTAATCTTTAATGTACCACAAATTTGAGCTTCGGAGATTAAAATCTAGGACTTGAACTGGAATCTAAGAATAACTGTGCAAAGAGCTTGAGGTGTCACTGTGACCTAAGCCGTGGGGGAATCAAGCAGCTGCATCCTGTACCCGTTGGAGTCATTGTCAGCAATGTGAATTACAGTAATCTGTTCTAGAGATGACAGATACACAGCTGGGCATGCACCTTTATTAACTGTAAGCTGTAAGTGAGGGAAGGTTAATTTTTTCATGGCCCTTCAGATTAGCTCGCAGTAGCGCAGTGAGCGGCAGGGTTGGGAGTGCAGTTAGTGGCTCTTGGGTGCTGGAGAAAGGGCAGGAATATTAAGATATAGGGAGTGTAGCTGACAGAGGGAACAGAGAATAACTGAGTTCTCATGCTAGTAATATCAGTCCTGGGTTTTATGTAATTGTTTAAGAAGGACAGCATGCCAGTTTTTATAGTGAGGTGCTAAACCTTTCTTTTGAGTACTGTAATACCAATGATTTCTGGCTACTTAAGCTTGGTGGGGAGGCAGTAGTAGCTGAAGATTTGTAACACTTGTCCTTTCTCCACTGGAGGCTTCCAAGTGTTGTATATTCCTTTTTCCACTCCCCTTACTTCAGTCTTTCTTACATTGAGGTTGCATCATTTTATTTTCACTCCAGAGATCCTCTTTTAGTTTTTTTAATATCTTAGGATTGCATCAGTTATGGCTGTTCACAATATATTACTGACAGCTGAAGCCATGACATCTGATGGTCTCTTCCATGGTTTTGCAAAGATCCTGAAGAAGCAAAGTATGTCGTTGGATATAGACACAACAGGTGAAGTCTCTAGAAGAACACCATTTATCCAGTACTGCCTTGAATACTGCTGAAAAAAATGATAGATAGTGCTAGTGTTGGGCTGCTTACCTTTGCTATATTGGGATTATTTTGCCTGAATTCTTGCATACTATTTGATGTTTATTGCCGCAGTTACTATAAGCGCCTGAAAGTAGCATAGTGCTAAAACAAATGAGGGAGAAATAGTTTGTTTTCACCTATAATTCTACATTTCCACTGTGATGGAATCTCTGTGTGAAAGGGAACATAAATGTCAGCTGGCTTTCTGGAATAGGTTTTCCACACAAACATGTAAATATCTAGAAATCAAGTAGAAGTTTATTCTTGCCATGTACTGTTGCTGTTGCTTTAAGACAATTATTGTTAACTATCTGAGGAAAAATATGCAGGATACTTAAAAATTAAGAAATTAGCATTAAAAGCCATGAGGTAATTATTACATTTCATACAGGATGTATAGTGCGCAATCTCTTGTGTAGCAGGGTTTTATGTTTATTTATAATAGATGTGTTCTCTTAGCTTGTCGTTACTTAATTAAAACTTCATGGTACATACTCTCGGGAAAGAATAAATCTGTGTATCAAAAGTCATATAAACCAGAATTACTGCAAATATAACCTTAGTAGTAGAGCAAAAAGGTAATAAAGTACAACTGTAATGAAAAACCTTCAAAGAAGGATTTTTCTTTATCTCCTCTAGGCTTTTTTCCAAATTTCTTTCAGATATTTCTGGCTTCTCCTTTTGCTCTGCTGTCCCCTTACATTATAATTACTAATGTTCCTGGATCTAATGTGAAGGTAGAGTTACTTCAAGTCAGCTACTGTTGTTTCATAGTCATCCCATAGTGAAGCTACCAAGTTATGCTTTGTTTAGTCCTTTTGCATCCATGCTGTCATACGTTGGCTGAACATATATATTTCCATGCTCTGTGCTAGCCCATCTATTCTTGAGAGAATGGAGCTGAAAGTCTTCATATTGGTTTAATAAATAATAATAACAAATTACTGTGTTTTTTTAGTTATAGAAACAAATAATCTTATGTTCCGTTCCCAGTTCCAGTGCCTTGCAAAGGACAAGAACCAGAAACTCAGTGTGGCACACTTGTAGAGCGATCCTGGCAATTTGGAAATTGATCCTAGTGCTTAGAAGCCTGCATAGTGCTCTCAGAAGCCATTGGCTAGCACTGCATGGAGAAAAACACAAGAACTAACAGTGTTCTTTTAAACCACAAAATATGAACATAAGTGGGGCTGCAGTTAATTCTGTTGTGAAAACCAGTCTTTTTAGGATAAAAGGAATTTTACAATTAAATTTAAGATTCATGCACAGACAGGGTTGTGTTCCTGAACTAGTCATTAAAATGTTTTGTTCCAGACTGGGTTTTTTTCTTCTCTTTTTTTTTTTCCCCCTCCCTTGTAATTTTTGATGGGCAAAGCTTTGTAATTACTTCTTCACAACTCTGCATGTGTCAGATCTGAATGTGGTCTAACTGAACAGATACACTTCTTGTTTCACAGCCTCTACTGAAAGGAGCAACATTGTACAAAAGCAGAACAGAAACGGGTTAGGAAGAACAATGACGTTGTCCAAACCAGTTTTGCTTATGCATGTACCACTCTTTGCAAGGTGTCAGATAGCTGTCACCAGTGAAAATGTGCAGTTACAAGCAGGCATGGAAAAGTTGCTGGGTTTTCTTGGTTTTTTTAGACTGCATGTTTACTTATGTGCAAAATTATCTACTTTCTGCTTGTACTGTATTTCTCAAGAACAGTGGTTCATTTTCATTGGATTTTAGCTGTGGTTTTGAACCAGCAGGGTTTGATACATGGAACTTTCAAAGTGCACAAGTGAAAAATCAATTTATACATATTTAAACTTTAAAAACTACTAACCCTGTTTTCTTGGTTTGCTTCTTAAAGTATAGTGGAGGCTACAGAACAGGAATAATTGATAGTTCTTTGCTTTAGTGATCTTTAAGTTACATGACTGAAATGAAATGTATACATATTGCAAGTAACTGAACGTAATTGAACTGGCTTTTAAGTATTTTTTGGAATGGGAAAATTTCAATGTCCTCTGTAAATTTCATTCAAGAAAATTCTGAACAGATGAGCTATTCAGGTGTGTGTAAGTGTCAACCTCACTGTTGGACCATGTGTTTTCTGAGCACTTTTCCCTCCACCAGTGAGACTGTGGTTTCATTCAGCTTACTGCTCTAAGGTGAGCAGGGTGCTGCTTCTCAAGGACAGGAGAATAAGGTTTCCTCTGGTCATATGTTCTGTGCTGTTAGTCTGGAGCACTGTTCCATTCCTACCAGCTCATGCTATGTATGTTTAAGATGTGTTCCACATCTGTTTATGTGTGAAGTGCTGCTATAGCATATGCATTATGTCTGCTAGATGGGATTTGTTAATGCTGAGTGCATGGCCAGCACTGCCTTGCACTCTTACGAGAGGCTACAAATGCCAGATTGTCCATCACTGTATTTTGTCATCCTACTGCCTGTGGCAGCAATATAGAACCCACCAAGAATCTGAGCTGCCGTTTCTAGTGAGCTTAACTTTTTGTTTAATAACTAGTGGAGATAACTGTCTTCACTCTTACTGTAGCTGTTTATTATGTTTTAACAAGACTTCAGTAGGTGCCTGTTCAGTGTCAGCTTGTAAAAATATACAGAATGATTTTAAGATCAATACGTCGACTATGATTTTAGTGCCTGGAACATCAGGACTCATTATGACCAAAATTCTAGCATAGGAATATCGATGTGTTTCCTTGCTGGAAAGAGATATATCCTATCCAGCTACCTCAGTGATGTCTTTAGCACAAGGCCAATTCTAGACTTGGAGCAAGGTCCAGTTGGTTGTCATGCGTCATTGTCATCATGTTTGTTATGACCCCTAGATTGCTTAGTACTGATTTTTATTTTTTTTTTTAAAGTGTGCAGTAGTTGTCTTGAAAAAGTAGGACAGGAAAAGAAGATTGTGCTTCCTTGTGGCATTAATAGATCAGTGACAATGAAATTTAGCAGCAGCAGAGAGCAATAAGAGAACAAGCTTAAAGTCCCTTAAAAATCATTATCTCTAATGAGGTGCTTGTATCACTTCCAGCTCCAGTGATTGGCAACAGTTTTATCCAATATTCATAACTGGATTCTTTCTGGAAACTAATCTGACCTTCTTCATATGTTTCCATCTCTTCCTTAAAAAACACATTTGGCACTGGGAGAAGAGAAGCCTCTGATACTGAATGTGTCCATGGTTCTGCTTACTATATTGACAGGACTATATTTTTTCAGGTTTTGCCTCTTTCCTTCTCTGGTTGACATTGAGTAGAAAAGTTTCTCACTTTAAAGAATATAAAATGGTAGTATCGTATCATATCTTATGAAGCAGGGCGTTTCTTCTCCCCCCATATATCTGTCCATGCACACCATCAGAACTCAGGTTTCATCTTTTGCCTACTCTTAGGTGTCAGATAACGTGGGCTAACCCTCCAGTTTTTGCCAAGAAGTAAATAATAATTTTGATGTCAGATCAGATGCCAGGTTTGCAAAGGCAGCACTGCAGTCATTGGTTGACCAGTGAAAAAAAAAAATTCCTCGGTTTAGATTCTTGAGGGAGTATTGCTTGCAAGTCACAATTTTCACAGTGAAATTAATGCTAAAACCCACTCAAAAAAAAAAAAAAAGAAAACCTACTCAAAAAAAAGGAACATTGGTGTCTTTACCCATAGTACTGTGATTATGCAATATGTTATTTTCAGTGTAAATCCCACAATCTGTCCTGCTTGTATTTTTGGAGTCTTTGATGACCAAATGTTTTGAATTGTAAAGAGTGGTTGTGGCTGGTTTAAGTTTCACACAAAAGCACATGTGGGGTCCATGTGCAGCCCTTCTAAACTTTGATATTAAAACCTATCAATTAATGCTGGGGCACATGCGGAATTACCACAGCATCATTGCTGACAACATTTTGAAGAACATGCATTTAAATTACAGCTCTCTAACTTTCTAACTCAACAGATGAAATAACTTCTAGAATGTAGTAAGTATCATGTCAGTTACACTACTACTCATGTTTAAACAATATTGATTGTAGGTCAGAAAACCTTTTTTTTTGTTTATCCAATATTCATATCCGGATTCCTTCTGGAAACTAATCTCACCTTGTTCATATGTTTCCTTTTCTTCCTCAAAAAATGCATTTGGCACTGGGAGAAGAGAAGCTGCTGATACTGAATGTGGATATAGAATGGTTCTGCTTATTATATTGACAGGACTGTATTTTAATTGTAATTAATGATTAGGCTAATGAGAATTCCTGCATATATCCTAGATTGAAGACCATTTAGGTTCTTAACAACTTGATACTCCTTTAGTAATACCTTGCAAGATGATGTGGTTGTGTGTGAATGCTCTCATACTGCCTTTGCCTTTTGGGACTTCTCTCTTCTAGCAGTTCTTTAAAGATATGACGCACTGTCCTCTTTTTCTAGGCACTTGGTTAATATAACACAGCTTGGGAAGGAGGAAAGGGGAGAAATAATTGCTGTACCTGTTTGAAGTAGGTGGACAGCCTTACACTGCCAACCTGATGAGAATGGCCTGGGTTTTGGCATTGTCCACTGTATTACAAAGTTTTCTTACTATGTGGAGAAAGAGTAAGAAGTCTGGAAAGCTCTCCCTAAATTGCTTTTAAAAAAAACCACCACCGAAACCTAACTTATTACTAGAAAATACTGTCTTGGAGTTGGGGAGGGAAGAGGTTTTGGTGGTTTGAGCCCTCCTTCATGGTTCAGGATGTCAGAAGAATTATAGCCTTGTGTTACAGGCCATTGCTTTGCTAACTCTGCACTTTTGTGGTCTCATAAACAGTAAGTAATTCTGCTTTTTGTAAAGATTCCATGAACATCCTTTCTGTGGAACGTAGGTTGCCAGCTGTTTGGTCTGAGCAAGAATGAGAGTGCTCATTAACTGAGTAGGCTAAAGAAAATGCAGGAAACAAGGGAAGGCTTTTTGGAAGATTGCTTGCAAAAGAAATTAATAGCTCTGTTGGATGAGGACCTTTGTCACTCTCAGTGAAGAACAAGGCTCTCTCTAGTGATTTAAAGCTCTACAGTTAACAATTTGTCACATGGAATTCCTAATCCTGCTAGAGCAAGAAATTTCATGAGTTTTAGTGGTTCTAGGAAAGAGATGTCTCCTTTAAATTCCCTGCCATGTCTTAGGTTGAATCTTATCTGCTCTGACTACAGGGTTCTTTCATGTGCCTTTTTTTTTTCCTAAGGACAGAAGAAATACTAGAGCTAAGTATAACGTCCACACATAACAAAATGGTAGCAACAATGGGTTTTGCAATACACTGGAAGTTGACAAGTTTCCTGGAATTATGAATCACAACTCACTTCAAATATGACACATCATAGAATGAGCCTTGATCATGAGTTTATCTCTTGCTGCTTTTTATTTTGTAAAAGATGCTGTGCTGTGTGCCACAAAAAAAAAAAAATCAATGCAGAGAATTATCCAGTAGGTCCTGCAGGGAAATGTGCAATTCATAGAAGTTTTAAGGCTTGTGGAAGAGAGAGGCCAATGAAAAGTTATTTTCCACATGGATTTCAAAATAAATGCTCAGGGAATGAAGATAGGAAGGAAAACTGCTCTAAAATTGGTAGGGCCTGCCGCAGGGCATGACCTGCAAAGGCTTTGTCAGTGAAGAACTGTACTTGGGCTAGTTAATGAAAAAATATGGGTGCATGCATGTTTATTGAGAAAGAGAGTTAAAAATAAAAGAGAGACAACCTGAGTTGTTCTTTGCAGCACTACTTACCAAATTTTCCTTTCAGCACCTAAGAGTCGTCTCCAGAACCGTTTACTCTTTCACCTGGCACATAAGGTATGATGTCTTTTCTTCACTCATGCTTTGTTTGTTTTCTTTTCAATTTGGTAATGTGTAATTTTTGCTGGCAACCTGGCAGAATAATTTAAATGTCTGTGGTGGCAGGAGAACAAACATTTTCCATAACCGTCCTACTCTATTAAAATGTCAAGGAGAAAGTAAGTGTGAAAACATGATTTCAGAATAGATGCCCTCAGCATGTATCTAAGGAAAGTCTTACCAACACAATTCATGTAAGTCATACAACAGGAACCTGGTGGTATTTTTGATCATAAGGAACTTGAATAGAATCAGAAATGTATAAGCCACTATTTTTCTTTGAAGTGTAACAAATTTTCCTAACTTGCAGCTGTCTTATACTTGGCAATTTGACCAAAATGGGCTCTATGCTATTACTGATCCTCCTAAGTCATTCAGTATCCAAGAAGTAATACCGTTTATAGCATGAAATTTACTTTAATTTTGACAACAATTAAATGTTTCATTTACTTGCTTCCCTTAAATTTGGTTTTGTACCATCTTATTGTACTTAAGTATTGTACTACTGGAGAGACTGAGTTTTGGGTGAAAGAAAGTATAAATCCTGAATATTAGCTTTGATATCTCTTTACTTAAATCTCTGTTAAGTTTAAGAGAGAAATCTTAAAACACTTGTGGTGGCACTGGCACTTACAGATGTCTGTGATAAAGAGAAGTAATTCCTAGTTCATCAAGTTAGTCTTTGGAAATAAAGGGTTTTAACTATGAAGCCCATTGCCTTTAGTTCTGTTAAGCAACTTCTCTTGCCTTTGTACTGGAGTATCATTTTGTGACTAGCTCAGAGAGGGAGGTAAAGGATTTGAAGAAAACTGAGCAGATAGGTGAAAAAACAATACATAAGACAGAATTTGTGTGTGAGAAATACATAATTACTGTTGAATCAACAGAACCAGCAAAGGGAAACGCTGGAATAAGTAGGTGATCAGACTGATAAGGTGAATAGCCTCAACTTTATTATTGTAATACAAATATAATGGGTATGTTTAACTGTGTTCCTTGTTTTTATCCGTGTGTGTTATGTGCTATACATCAATGCTTTTAAAAATAAACCATTTAGTTAAAGAAACTGGAATTTTAAGGGGCTGACGAAAGAGAATTTGTTAGTGCTGTGAAGAAGTCTTGTGAAAATTAGCGCATGTGTATTGGCAAGTCTTGCGTTTTTCTGCTATCCATGAGAAACAAGATTTGGATCTACAAACAGCAAAATTTCTGCTGGCTGGAATAATAACAGTCAAATCTTGTGTTGCAAAATTCTGTTTGTGAAATAATTAATTCAGCTCTTCCCCTCTTATCCATCAAGGACTGTGACATGTAATTATGTCTAAATCACACCTTGAAGGAAAATGTGCTTAGTTTTAGCCTCTCATTTATCTAGTTTCAACTGGTCTGCCTATTTAATGTTTGGCTTGCTCCACTGGTCAAATTAACTTTAAAGTAACAGAGTTTTTCCAGATATTTAATATGAATCACCTTCTGTTTGCCAGAAAGGACAAAACTAATCCAGCAAATTAAAATGTTTTTCTTGCTGAACTCTGCTGAGAATGTGTCACACTCTTTTTAGTTTAGTGATGAGAAGAAACTGATGAGCTCTCACCAGAATCTGCAAGACATTACAGAAGATCAGCTTAGCTTGGCATCTATCCACTACATGCGGTCCCACTACCAAGAAGCTATTGATATCTACAAACGCATTCTTCTTGATAATCGGTGGGCATCTCTAAACCTTATTGCACTGTCTCTGATACTGTTGGTATTTGAATTCCATCTAGTTGCTTGGTTTCTGAAAGTAGATATTTGCCCCAATTACTGTGTTTCTTTCCCACCACAAAATGTGCACAAGTCACAGCCCCTTTAATTTTGTTCATTGCAAAGCATTATTGAAAAATCCATGTTTAAAAAGAGGTCTGCTTTTTGTTGCTTGCTTTTAGCAATAATTTCATGTAATTAATTCTGAGATTTTTCTTTTAGTTTTGTTACTTCTGAAATGTTCTGTTGTGTACCTGCTTTGTCTTTTTCTTTCTTTCCCCTCTGATGGCCAGTCTGGTGTCCCTTGCGTGTGGTTGTTGACTTCTCTTTCACGTCTTAGCCTTTCTAAGAAAGGTTCAGTTCTTAGGTTTTATGTAGAGAGTTCCTTTCATTTCTTTAAGTCTGAAATTCCTTGCGTTTCTATTTATCCTGCTATGACACTTGTTGATGGTTCTTTCTATCGCATTCTGCAAGTTCTTAGTTCAGAACTTATCAAGGAACAAATTGAGTTCTTAAGTGGCTGGAAGCATTGTTTAATAAAATGGAAACTGATATTCCAAAATACTACCAAAAGATAGCTAAAGATAGCTATGTATCTCCTCTTGAATACTTCGGAGAAGTCCACCATAATGTGTGTATGTATGTCATGTAATTCTTGGGGAAGAGATTTTTAACTTCCAAGTCTTGTAGAAGCAATCACTCAAAGCTAAATGAGTAACAGAGTAATCTTCATAACAATTAGACTTTTACTTACTGTTTCCACAAATGCCTGTCTTATTTCTCTGTCTAGTTCTTCTGGCTTGATAGCCTTTAATGGTAAAGATTTTTTGAAATAATTGTACTTGGTATAAGATAATAAGGTCATTAAAATATTTTCAAAGTTTTATGTGCATATTAAATGTCTTTGTATGTATTGCATAGAAAATGCTATTCTGCCAGGCCAAATACAGTGCTCATGTTCAGTGCATTTCCTTAGTGTGAAGTTGCCACCATTTCCCAGATCTGCAAGCCAAAAGTTTTGTGGGTAATTCTTTAAAGCCACAGTAGCTGCCATTGAAAAAACTAATATGAACCTGGGTCTGTATCTGTGTAATCTTAGCTAGCAAACTAGAGCTCTAAAAGCCTTAAGCATTTCTCAGAAAACCCAGTTTTGATGTGCTTGTAAAAGATGTATAGACATGTGAGAGCTTTATCACTGATTGTAATGTTCTGTAGTATAACTATCTGGTGGGATTTAAATGTTCTCTTTAATCCTCTTTCCTGCAGGGAATACCTGGCTCTGAATGTATATGTGGCCCTATGCTATTACAAACTGGATTACTATGATGTATCTCAGGAAGTGCTAGCTGTTTATCTTCAGCAAGTTCCTGACAGCACCATTGCTCTTAACCTTAAGGCTTGTAACCATTTCCGACTCTACAATGGGAAGGCTGCTGAGGTATCTGCTGGACAGCCCTTCGGTTCACCTTTATTTTAGTTCAAAATTCCATACAGGTTTCTTTTCTGTGTTATCTGTCTTAATCAGTAATGTTGATGATGTCCTTTATCTTGTCATTGTGTCCTTCTCTTAGGAATGTCACCTATTTCTGTTTTCCTGGTATTAAACCATCTGGCCACATGTATGCACCAGTTTTCCCAGTCCACTTTTGACCTTATGTCTATATATGTATTATCTAGTTGCTAAAATCATCACATAGAAATGGGAGGGCAAAAATCTTCCGGTGACCCAGTACTGCTGGAGATGTCTTTCAATCAGTTTTGGGGCTCATATGAAGCTACATTTATACTTGTGTGCTTTTTTATTTTCATGTCAAAATTCTGGAATATGTGTCATTCCAGGCAGAGCTCAAGAATTTGACAGACAGTGCCTCACCGTCTTTTGAGTTTGGCAAGGAACTCATTAAACACAACCTGGTGAGTAATGTGATTTCTTGGATTTAATATGAACTGTGCTTATTTGTAGAGCTTTTCTTGGTGATTTATGAAATGGAATATCTTGGGAATTGCAGACCCTATTGTATCTCTTCTGCTTTATAAGTCCCATTTCAGAAATCCTACTTGTATAATCAATGTGCCATCAAATGTATTCTTTTTCCTGGAATTTTTCCCTGTCAGTTTGAGACTGTGTCAAAAAATAATAATGCTGTTACTTTTACCCCTGAAGGCATATTAAAATAATTTGTGTGCTGTAAGAAGACCTTTGCAAGACATTTTGTGGAGCTCAGTCAATAAGGACACTGTAGAAATCAGTCAGAATGTCTGACCCTCAACTCTTGTTTAGTGGGACAACGATGTGAGTGGAATTAAAGATAAATCCAGAAAATGGTCTTCATCCAAAAAGTACTAAACAAGAGTTCATAGGGGAAAAGAGCCTGATAAAAGCCAAAATACTTGTGTGTTCTGCAGTAAAAGAGTCTCTAATCACCTGTTAATTTTCCCTGCGGTGGTGGCATTACTTTGGTAAACGGGTAACAGTAGATTCCCTTTATTTAACGAAGGGCAGTTGCTTGCTTTGTCTTTTTTCAAGAGCAGTCACAAGCCAACACTTTTTTTCCCCAAGACTTAAAACTGCTTTCAAATTGGACTTTTGTAAGTTAACATTCTTTATTGTGAATGTTGGTCTTTTTGCCAGTGGCTTATTGAATAAGTATGTTAGATTTTGGTGGAGGAACTGTCATGTGAAACTGAGGTTTAAAAAATTGACAGCTCCGGATCGTTTTAGGACCCTGTGGCATTCTAAAGGAATGTAGAGTTGTTACCCTAATTTTTTTCATATGAATTCATCATAAGCAAATTGTAACTCTGTATGTGTCCCCATCACTCCTATCTCAGGCCGTATTATTCTTTAAAATCTTTGATATATAATGTATGGCTTTAAAATCTTTGATAAATAATGTATCACTGGTTTGAGCCGCTAAAAGCGGAAAGAAGTTAATCTTTACTGATGGATTAAATACTTTATATTCTTCAACATAAAGATTGTCACAGGTTGTAATTCTATATTTATATTAAAGCAGGGATTATGCTAATGCCAGTACCGCTGACCTTTTCCTACTGTTAACATAGTAATTTAAAGATTAATTTCCTTGAATTAAGAGATCATAGACAAGATTTTAATACACAATTATCAATATGCTGCTTTTCTCTGCAGGTGGTGTTCCGAGGAGGAGAAGGGGCTTTGCAGGTCCTGCCTCCTCTGGTTGATGTTATTCCTGAGGCAAGACTGAATCTTGTGATTTACTATCTCCGGCAAGGTAAAGACACCTTCCCCTGTCCCTTTCATAGCTTCAGGGATGACATTCATTCATCTGCTCACAACCGACTATTCCATGAAATGCTTTTTTTCCTTTGCAGTAAAACGTAATTTAGTTCATTTTCTGTTCCTCTGGAAAATAGTGATGTAAGACTTCCCATGGCTTGCAGAGAAGGGCTTTAATTGTATGCAGTCAAATAAATCTACTTCAGCAGAGTATTGGAGGTTTCTTGGGTTGCAGGAGATGGCTTTGGGGATAGTGGTGTTTATATGTTTACAGTGAGAGGACCTCTCCTCTGCCTAAATGTGTGAGAATGGTAGGTGTATGTCCTATGAAGGCAAGGAAGACTATTTCTGTAAATACAGCTCAAACACAGTATGAGCCAAAGTGACTGTGAACAAGGCTATAGTTTGTCAACAAGACATTTCATTCCAAATCTACTTTACAGCTCTTAAAGAATGCGGGTAGGTAGCCAGAATCAGTTGGAAAGGATTTCCTGCTTGTTTCTCTCTTTAGTTGGCTGACCCTTTTGAATTTTGTCTGAGTTTAGTTTCAGAACCATTGCTATCCTCCCATATTTTTCCTGTATTAAACACCTGGATTGACTGGCTGAGTGATGAGTAGGTGTTAACTGCCATTTTCTAATACAAGGTGACATGAAGATTGTTTTTCCATCCCCTGCTTTCTTATAAGCCTTGTATTTTGTAACAGTGAAAAAATACCTTTAGGTGACCAGAGCATCTGAAACCAGAAAAATGTCTTGTCTTAATTTTTAAACAAATAAACTCTATGCCTGCAAATTTTTTTTTTTTTTTTTCCAAAATGTTGAAAAATTACCAGGAAAAAATGAGATATATTTTACTGGCAGAAGTGACACCAAATTTATATTCTTTTCATCCTAATAAGTTCATCAGAGAATCTGAGTGTACATAGCCATAGTACATTGAAAAAGCTCTGTGAGGTTTTTATAGTGTGATTGAATTGGAGTTTCAGATACTTGTTCTGAGTAATATCTTTATGATTTATAATCAACAAGGTTGGTGAGATTTAATCTTTGTAGTTGCAATATGTTCCATTTGGTGCTCAGGTATATCCAGGACTCCTCCTTTTGTTTGCATGTGCAATTGAAACACTGTCTCATTGTCTTAGTTCAACTGAAACTCTGACAAATATTAGAATATCCCACTACTGATGATTATTGGCAGTTACAGAAATTCTTATTGCAGCAAATACCGTGCAGTAAAATCATATTAATCTGACTTTGCTGATGTGCAAACATCACAGTCTTCACAAAATATGCCAATTCTATTTTGTTTTATTTGATACTCAAGAATGACAATAAGCTTACTTGTTTCATATGAAGTTATTTGAATTTCATCATGGTTGTAAATTAGGTGTACATTTTCAAGTAAATTCAAATGGTCACAATTATGTATTATTAAAAGTACATTACCATCTGCCTTATTTTGTATGAATGTATAGAGTTCTAGGTAAATATCAGAATTGGATTATTAGTGAGAAGAGACCTCTGGAGATGTCTAGCATGTTTTATTCAAGCCAGGTCCAATTAGATCAGGTTGGTTAGAGCCTTGTCCAGAACTTCCTCTGTTCCACCTTGTGTCCACTGCCATTCGTCTCACCCTGTGCAATCTGTCTCCCATCTTCCCTGTACCCTCCCATTAGTTAGTTGTAGACAGTGATAAGAGCCTTCTCCTCTGAAAGCTAAGCAAATGCAGTTTTCTCAGTCCCTCCTCAGGCCCCCACCTGCCCTGGGAGCACTCAGGTGGGCTGTCTCCTGTATTTCAATCTCTGTCTTGATCGAGGGATTCTGAAATTGAACACAGTACTCCAGGTGCAAACTCACAAGTGCCAAATGGAGAAGAGTCTCTTCCCTTGCCCTGATGGCTACACTCTTGCTAATGTGAACCCCTGTGCAGTTGGCCTCCTTTGCTGCAGGGGTGCACTGGTCTGTCAGGACCCCCAGGTTGCCTTTTAGCCAGTCAGCACCCTGCCTGTCTTGTTGCTTAGGATTTTTTCAAACCAAACAAGATGCAGGATTTGCATTTTGTCTCCATTGAACCTCATGACACTTCTTTCAGCCCATTTTTTTCATCTTGTCGAGCTTTTTCTCAATAGTTGGGAGCTTTCTCCCCAGTCTTTTATCATCTACAGACTTGCTGAGAGTACTCTCTATCCTATTGTCTGGGAGTACTCTCTATCCTATCGTCTGGGTCATTACTAGGAGACAGCAGTATCAATCAGTTGGAGCTTTGATTAGTAACGAGCCACCAGTTGGATTTTGTACAATTGATCACTGTCCTTTGGTAGTCCAGCCAGTTTTCCGTCCCCTTATCATCTTACTTAGCCAGTCCAATCTCTCAAGTTTGGCTATGACAAAGGTATAACAGACTATGTTGAAGACGTTGCTGAAGCCAAGGTATCCAGCATTCACTACTACCCCTTTATCCATACAACCAGTTATACATTGGGTTAGTCAGTACACTTTGGCACTGGTAAATCTTTCCATCTAGTATTGAATATGGAAAGTATATGGAAACCTTTCCATCTAGTATTATTGTTGCCAATATCACTATAGGTAATTATCTTGCCCACTCATATTGTTAATAATAATACATGTTTCAAATTAAGTCTACTTAAACAGAAGCAAAATACATCTTTGGGATTACTTAAAAATCAGTCTTGTTTACTCATTTACTGTCAACCTTGCAGTAATTTTCATTAGTTAGGTTCTGTTCTTCACTGTGTTATACAGATGACTTACATACTGACAAAGGAGGCCAAGGGGAATTAGGATTAAAACCTCTTCCCTGGTTAAGATAAATTTACATTTTAAAGTCTTGATAGTGTAGCAGCATCAGTTAAGGATGTGAGAAATCTTTACTTCTGATGACTACAGCTGTCTCTCCAAGACTTACAAGGTGTCTGATGAAGGTAGGTTTGCGTTAAGACATGCTCTGAACTGGAGTGACAGAAGTACAAACATGCATCCCATTTTTTTTCAACTCTTTAAGGTAGTGACTTTTTAGCAGGGTTTGTGGCCAGTCATAATCTGCTCCAGTGAAATTAGCTGGAGGCTTCTGTTGGAGCCTGAAGAGCATAGTTCTGTGTTGATGGTCTACACTGATGAAAATAAGGGCTGCTGACATTTTTTGGGGTGTTGGTTGTTAGTCAGCTGAGTTAGCAGAAGACAACAAAAAACCCCCATATTTTTATTTTTTTTTTTTTTGGGGTGGGGGGATAAAAAGTGATGGCTTTTGGCTAGTCTGTCCCCACAGTGTATGGATGATATGTACTGGCAAAAAAAACTTCTGTTTGATACGGCTTGTTCTGGATTAACAAAATTTTGCCATTAAAAAGGGCACCTTCACTAGGTTAGGTTACTAAGCAGACCATAGTGCCGACATCATTTCTGATTTAGGTAAAGTTTGGGATCTTTTCCGCTTACTTATTTCTTGGGTGGGAAGGAAGTTGTTTATTGAATTCAAACTTTACACTTAAATTTCAATACTAGTAATGCTTTTTGCTTGTTAGAATTAGGATCAGGTAAGAGTTGCTGGACAGATTTTGAAGTATTGATAGGGAAAAGATGAAGTTTCCCTTCAGAATCATGTTACCCTCTCCTCTTTTAGGGGTAAATAAATATGAGAAAAGACAGGAAGATGATGGATTTATTATCTTGACCTTGTACTGTTGAGAAGGCAGCCACTGGATTATGAACAAGGGGGCGAAGTCATCTCTACTAGGAAAATTGTAGTAATAAAGAAGCTATTACTCACTCCATGTTTGCTATTTGAGTTCTAGAAAACCATCACCATCATGATATAAACTCACAATGATTTATGGTTACCTTTCTCCTCCTGTCTAAATGCTTTATTTCTTAGACTGTGACTATTGAGGAATGTTGTAGAGGATGAGTGATTTCTTCTAATACAGTGTGCTATGGATTGTCATGCATTCTAACATCTGGTATTTCAGATGATGTGCAGGAGGCTTATAACCTGATTAAGGACCTGGAACCTACAGCTCCACAGGTAATTGGAAATTGATGTAATGGTACATAAAGACAGGGGTTATAAGTCGGTATGAAATCTGCCACATACAAAACTAGGATTCTGAGGACATTCTCTGCCCCATTCTCACTTGTAAAACTTTTGTGTTCTCCATCTTTTTATCAGCAATAGACTTTATGATCATGCCTAAAGTGTTATATATGAGCATATATGAGTGAGTACTTAGCACGTTTATTGCCATACCACCTGGGGTCAGTAAGAATACAGCTCTGTTGCGTGCAGACTTGATTCTAGTGAGCTTACCATTAGTGCATATATAAAATCCCTCTTCCAACTGCAGCTACTTGTCACTTCTGCCCTGGTGATGGTTACCATCCTGCAGATCTACTAACTCAGATGCTCCTGTGGTTTGTCCTGAAGCCATTTCAATAAAAACAAGCTAGATTAAATTAAACAGTTTAAATAATAGGTCTTTTCTAATTCCATCTCACTTTGGCTGCAATGAGTGAAAACCGCAGTGTCCCTTGGCTGCTACTGTAATTTTCTTTTGTAGCTATTCCAACATCTTTAGTCTCTGATTTATTCCTCTTTGCAGTTTATTTTCCAAAGGTCACATAGCTGAGCATGAAAAGGACCTTTCATGAGTCTGTGTGAGGATTAGATGGAGAGAGGGAAAAGGAAAACTCCAGAAACACAGATTCTGTGCTGAAGAGTGTCTTCTACTGTTGCTTTTCACTTCTCACATTTTTCAGTGTAGCAAAACTTACTTGAACAGTTTTCTGCAGCTATTGGTCCTTTAGCCTACATTTCCCCCATATAAGTGCGTAATATTAAATAACATGATATCATTCTTGATATTACATTTTGAAATTAGTATGTTTGTGCTTTTTTTCCATTTTTCTCACTCACATTTGGAAGGAACTCCCTGCTAAGACTTGCAAAACTATTTGCATATTCTCCTTCAGTTCTTCTCAAATTTCATCTTTGTCATGACGCCTGTAGGTTAGAGGATGGTGTGCCAAAATGATTACTTTGCTTACTGGCTAGTACTCTCAGGTTGTTTTCTTGCCCTCCATTGTTGGTCTGCGTACATGTCTTTCTCTTTTTCCATGTTTACATCTGTGACAGGGCTGTCCAGGTTTATCAGGAGTAGCTACTTCAATAGCTATAACTCTTAATTGTAAGATTTGAATAAGACAAATGAATCTGTGACATACTGAGAAAATCTTGCTCAGACACGAATTAAACTATAGTTGTATCTCATAGTAGGGATTACAGGGTACTTTACTCGTATTCCTAATTTCAGTAGAGTAACATGACGACAGAGCACACACCTCTTGATATTTTTGCCCTGATGAGAAACGCCATGCATTTTCTAGCAAGGATGGTAGTGGTTATTGTTAACCTATATGGATACTTGAAGTGGGATCTGTGCATTAATATGACAGCATTGCGCTTGATTATTGGCCATGGGATGGTGAAGAGGACATGATAGTATGTTATGGTGTTTATTACAGTGCGTTGTCTTTGAGCCTAAGACTTGCCAAAAAACACACAACGCCTTTGCGTACTTGTGGGGGAACTTCATACTACTGTGCTGAAGCACTACTGTAGTATCATAGTAACTAGCTACCTATTAAACTGAGTTGGGATAGAGTTGAATTTAGGAAGAAAATAATGTACAAGCAAGCTTTTACGTGTCTCTTGAAATCTTCACCTTGTCTTCTCTGATACTTTTTACTTTTTTTTCAGGAGTACATCCTCAAAGGAGTGGTAAATGCAGCACTTGGACAAGAAATGGGCTCGGTGAGTGAAGCCCATGAGGTTCTCCAGCTTCTCCAACAGTAGGATGCGAACAGATCTGTAGGGACTGGAATGGAGTTAAAGAGGCAATAATTTCTCATTTAGATTGCAGGATATCAGAGTCTTTAAGTCTTCTTCCTCCAATACTCAGTCCAGAATGAGTGCAATGCAAATCTCTGTTGCTAGTCCTGACAATAAATCAAGCTCAATTTGGCTTCTCTGTCCTGCTTCCAAAAACACTGTTTGCTTTCTACAGTGTTCTTGTGTATCTAGGCACATACCATGGCACGTTTACCTTTTCTGGTTTTACTTCAGCGCTGGTTTGTCTCCCCATCTGTTCTTCAGAGTGTATTTTCACTGTGTGTTGTGCCATCAACTGTGGAATTTATCTTGAATTTATTTTTTTTTCCTCTCCCAGAGAGATCACCTGAAAATTGCTCAGCAGTTCTTCCAGTTGGTGGGTGAATCAGCCAGCGAATGTGGTATGTTTGAAATGTTCTTTCTCCATTATGTAATCCTTCTTACAGCATCCAAATATATACCATCATATCTTTGTCTTACTGGTGACTGTTAGCATGACTATTGCTAGGCATTTTGTTGCTATAGTATGAGTAACAGAAAGTCTAGCTTATAGCTTAAAACAAATTTGCAAGTTTAAATTAGAAGACTCAGTTAATTCCAAACCTTACTCTATGTATTTGGCTGGAAAAGAGGCCAAGTGTTAGACTTCACTGATAGATGCTGTGGCAGCTTGCCTCGGACTAATAATACCCATTATAGAACGAGAAGACAACAGCCTGTTAGATGAAGTCTATGGCTGAAACCTCACAGGTACAAATGTAGGACTGCTAATGAAAGGCTATTGAGTGGAGTCCTAGCACGGAGCATGCCCTGGAACTAAGGGTAATAAAAACATAAGGATGAATTTGGTTACAGCAAGCAATGGAAGTTCTGGGACTAACTCCTTCATTGAATCAAAAGAAATATGACAAAACCCAACCAAAAAAATAAGTAAAAGTAAATATTGAAAATACATTTATTCAAAAATAGACCAAAACCTGACCTTGTCTTCCCTCCTTCTTGCCAAAGTGAAACCCTAAATCAAAAAAAGCCAGTGGTTGGAACACAGAAATTCAGCCAAAATGGGGCTTCCCTGCGTCCTTTGTAGGCATTATCAGTAGGACTATTTTTTTGGGTGCGTAACTGTGCACATTTATGGTGCAGAGAGCTCATGGTCCTCAGAGACAGAATGCTTTCTCCTGTGTCCATGGTGACTAAAGAGAAGGAGCTTAAGAGACGGAGCAACAGCACTGATGAAGCTTTCAGAAATAGCGTTGAGCCGTTTCTGTTCCCCTTGCGGCCCCTGTACTGTTGAGATCGTGTCGCAGAGAGCTTCATGTTGGGAAGGCTGAAGTGGTTCCATCAATCAGCCTTCCCTAACACATTCCTCTTGCATTGAGACTGTCCTTTGGGAGTCAGGATCCCAGCTAACAGAAAGAAGGAATATGAACTGTAGTAGTGGAGGACCCTGTTAGTGGGCATACAGCTAACTAGCTTTGTGATGCTAGTAAAGTCACAGGATGACTGATACAATGGTGGTGGACCTCTTAATGCTCATAACAATCATGCAGGTGTAATAAGTCACCATAGCACACATGGATAAAAATAATACAGAGATAATCTGAGAAAAGATATCCTGAATAGATGTATAGTGAAGATATAGCCCAAAATCAAAATGGAAATTGTTAGGAAGCTAAAGGTCTGAGTTTTACTGTGAAATATTTTTAAACTCATATGCAAAAAAAAGGCAGAGAGACTGAAACTTGAGGTATAGTTAAGGTGGGGGGAAAAAATGAAAAAAAAAAAAGGAAAAAAAAAAAAGTGAATGATTTAAGCTCACCAACTCTTGGACGAGAAATGGAGCAACCAGCAAAGAGAACCAGAACTCACTCCTCCTGCTCCTGACCTGCAACGCCAAATGGCCGGGGGGGGGAAAAAAAGAAAAAAAAAAAAGGAAAAAAAAAAAAAGGGGAGGGGAACAGAAATGTAGTCTGATTAGGGAGGTGGGTTAATTGGGGGGAAAAAAAAAGAGCCTCTGGGATGGATTGATTCCAATTAAAGGTAAATGGAAACATTATTACTGCAAGCATCTTACACTGTTGGTACTTCCATGTAAAAATTGCTTTGTCATCTTTTTAAAAACTTACGAGAGAAAGCTGACATGCAGAAGAGCGCACAGTTCAAGGTAACTCCTTTAAATAGTGTGAGGGGTTTTTTGTATCCTCAAATGAAGGACGGGTGGAGGTCAACAAACTGTTGATAGGAAATAGAAGAGGCAAACAGAGTTCAGTTTGTATAGGACATAACAAAAAGCAAACACATGAAGACCAAATACGTTTTTATACTACATGTTTTACAAGATGATGAATAAAGTGGAACAACTGATTTTAGAAGAGGAGGCTATAAACCTAAAATAACTTTTAAAATGCGATAGGAGAAAGGTAACATGTAGGATATTGTTCCTATTTGATTTATAATGGGATATTACTAGATAGATGATGCCTGCCAGTGGAGAAATAGCTCTAAACATTATAGAACCCTTCTCTCAAAAATAAAGTAAATCTCTTTTCTTTATCAGTGAGTAACATAAAATTATTTTAAATTATATGCTCAGATAGGAGATTCATCGTATTGAGGCTAAATTATTCACCGACCAGCCTGGATGGGAACAGTGACTGGCATATTAAAGAGGTTAGAGATTTTATATAGACAGATAATTAAATAGTAGTTGGGGACTTCTATTCTGCCCATATTTACTTAGTAAGTGCAATAACACGGCATTTTTAAATGCTCAATTTTAATCTTTCTTAGAGAATACAAGTGAACAAGTGACTCTAGACCAATACAGAGATTACATAGAACCTGATTTCAAATTTTATGATGAAAATCCAGTTCTGTCACAGTGATCTCAGTATAATCAAATTCAAAATCCATGTGTTAGCAAATACCTCAAAGAATTTCCACAGTGCTAATTTAAAGAAGGGAAGCTACATAATAACCTTTCTCATTTCTAACAGAAAATTCTCAGTAAAGTAGCAGTGAAAAGGATAAAATGCACCTGATTTGAACACTTGAAAGAATCTTTTGTTTCTTTAAAGAAAGGGCTCGTATTCATAATTAATGAGCTTTAGGAGACAAATAATGACATGACTAGGTTTACCAATGGTACAAAATTACCCATAGTAGGAAAAATGAAGGCTTCCACAATGATGAAAGCTGTGGAAGACAATATAAAGCTGGGTAATAATATGCAAATTAAATTTAGCTTTGATAAATGCAAAGTAGTACATATGGGGGGGAAAAAAACCCTTAAACTATATTTGCAAAATTATCAGAAAAGTTGAAGAGAACCTTAGGAATTGATGAGGAAAGAGAGAACAAAGCAAGAGTAATTACTGTGTCATTGTATACAGATGTGGTACCCTTCCTCGAATAGTCTCTGCAGTTCTGCTTCTTACACTTAAAAAAAAAAAAAAAGGTACATAAAGAAAGGTTACAATAAAGACGGCGACGATGATCAGAGAGAGGGGATAGCTTCTTGAACAAGGGGACATTAAATGAAGGAAGATATGTGGCCTGAAAAATTATGACTGAGTTTGATTATGGTTGTGATACAGAACATCATAAGTGACAAGGAGAGGAGGAATAGAAAAGAATTAATTACTGTGCCATACAAAAAATTAGGAGCATTGAAATAAATCATCAAGCATGACAATTAAAACAAACAGTAGGATTACTTTTTAATGTAAAACAACTTATTTGTTATAGAATCTTGTGAGAACCAGAAAGTATAAAGACATTCATAGAAGAAAACTCTATTGGCTGTTTGACACAAAATTTTCAGTGATGATTAGGAAGTCCTCAGTGCAGATTTTTGGAAGGAAATTTGAAAGGAAGTGGCACTACATAGCACAGCATCTATTACATGTGAAATCAGAGTATATTATTTCCATAGCTGTATATTTTTACTCAGCGAGCTTCTGAATCAGACAGACTTTTGATCCAATGTGGTCATTTCAATGTTGTGATGTAACTTAATGTATTAGCTGCTATGTTGTATATTTGTTTTTTGATCTGCTGCCTCTGTTTTGCTGGATTTGGAATGGAGAACAGAATTCTCACTGTTTGTATACTTGGGCTTTTGCTAAGTAGCCAGTCCTGCTATTCAAGCATGTAAGTCATGCTTCAGCACTTCCCACTATGCCAATCCTTGCAGGGAGCTAGTACCATTAGATTCTGTTTAAGATCTCTATCAAAGTACTTAGCTGCTTTGCAGATTTATAATACGAAAGTAGGTTGTGCTTGTTAGAGTGAGGAAATCCCATGCTATATCTTTGCTTGCAATTGGGCCTACAAAATTTTAAAGTGAATTTTAATGTGGATTATCAAAAATGAATGGATTAAAATGAAGATGTGGAATATTTTTTCAAACTTCCTCTTGTTAAATGTAGAAGTCCCTTGACTGCATTAAGAAAAAACAGACAGTTTAGGAAGGATACTGTGTCATGTATTTGTAAAGTAATTTGGAGTCATCAATTAAGCCATTTGCTATTTTTAGCTCGATCTCTGACTTGGAGGTTCAAGGAATGTAGAGCAGACAGAGTTAAAGTGACAGTCCTTTCTGATCCATGTACACATTTCATCTCATGTTGGAAGTTATACACTTCAAGAGGAGTAGAGACACCCAAAACAAAAAAACTCAAAAGAACCAGGAAGCACGTAGAGTGTGGGAGTCAATATTCACCCTCTGGCAGCAATAAATACCACCCAGAAGAGCAGTTTGTATTACTGGGGTTTTTTTAAGCTTAATAAAAATTCTAAATCCCAATGACGTAAGTCAGACCTGGCATTAGAGAGGAGGCTATCACTAGATTTTTGTAGTTAATTCTCATGCTCTTCACCCAGGGTCTCAACTGGATGGAAAACAAAACAGATCAGATTTCCGAGACAAGTTAAAGAGGAAATTGGGCAAGAGGAACATTAGTGAAAGTAAATGAACAGTAACATTTCCATTAAATGCAGCACTTAACGTAAATCTTACAAACTACCCTAAAAACACTGGAAGCATAATGGAGAAAAGCACCCATTTCATTTTCAGTGGCTGTCTTTTAGGACCAGTCAGACATATCTGGTGTTGGGTGGGAGGAATGAAACATTTCTTCTGGACTTTGTGCAGTCTTTTCTTTGAGGTATTCTTAGGTCACCCTAAGCAATTTTTCAAAATGAGAACTTTTTCCTCTTCGTGCATGAGTCACATGGGATGAATTAGAACTATAAAGCTCTAGTTTTCCTGTCACTAGTAGTATTCATTGCTGAGTTGTATGAGATTTACAGCTGTTTTACTTGTTTGTTTTTTTAATGAAATCTTTCACTAAAAAGTATATGGAGGATAACAAAATTTTCTGCCAAAATGTGGACATAAGAATAAATACTGAAGCTTAGAAACTCTCCAGTTATATATGGGAAAAGTGTGGTTCTGTATTTTGTTACTCTGATTAATTTTTACTGAAAATGTTTTCTCAGTTTTAAATCCTCTTTACATGTTTATTTGCTTTTTAAAAAAATTTTGTTTATCTTGCTGTGAGTTTATGAATGGTGTGGTTCAGACATAGATAAGGATGAATTGTCTCTATATGGAAATGATAGGACATCCAAGCTTAGTATCTCCTAGTGCTGAAAGATAAAAAAAGAGAATATTCTGCTTTCCTTTGAAATATTTTTTGAGATCTTATACAGTGCTTTTGAGGAATAATTACTACCTTATTTAAAGGACAATGTACAGTTTTCCAGTGTAATGCTGTATTCTGTGCCGTGGTATGGAGTCAAAATATTGGTGTTTGGATACATGAAATGTCTATATACAGAAGAGATATTTTCATTTTCTAATGTGGATTAATTGATGATAATTAACCTACAGGAGCAGATTACTCCAGGGCTGTTGGTAGCCTTAGGATCTTATCTCCTGTCACCTTACCAAACTGCACACAGCAGCATGCTCTCTAATGATCATTTGACATAGTCAAATATGATTTGACATCGCTTGCTCTTACGCCTAACCAGCTGCTACTTGGGTTTGTCCATCTCTGACCAATCTCTGCTGGTTGGATCTAACAAAAATTAGTCCTAGTAAGCTTACTTCAGAATCTCTAAAAAAGCTTTGAAATAGTTTTTCAGTAGCACAACTTACAATTTCAGCCTAGATGACTACATAGTGTGCTGGCAGCAAAGTTTACTAACGCTCACTTGAACTGTTATGCTTAAATTATTTATGGCTTTACTACTTCTGAGCAATGTGGTAATCCCAAATGCCTGGAAATCAATCTTTTTATTGTATTTTATCACTAAGTATTTTCCTGTGAATGTGTTAATTTTTTTAATAACAATATTTTCAGAGTATCAAGTTAACTCTCTTACTGAAACTAAAATTAAAATATGTAGAGCTTTTTTTTTCCAGGATAACTGAAAAGCATAGTTTTAAAGAAAAAAAGCTAATGAGGTTAGGATAATAAACACAGGCTTTGTATCAAATTTCGTTTCCTAAGAGTAAGACTAATTCACAGTAAAACTATGCTCTATAAATTGTGTCATGGAAAAGGCCTGTTGCTTAAACGATTTGTCTCTATAGAATTTGCTGTTGAATGCAGTCTTGCAATAGTTATTGTATGCTGTAGAGAAAGTTGACAAGATGATCTAATAGTTTTTCTAACCTCTAGTATGGTCCTTTGCCTGAAAAGGCAAGTTACACTATTTTTAGAAGTTAGCTGCTTTGATCGTTGCAAGCAATCTTGGCAGTAATTTCTATTACCATATGATTTTTAAATTCTACAAATCTGCATTTCTCTTTTTGAATTTTAGATACCATTCCAGGGAGACAGTGCATGTCCTCCTGCTTCTTTCTTGTTAGACAGTTTGCTAATGTCCTGATTTACCTCAACTCAGTCAAGGTTAGTATTATTGTTTAGTATTGGTAGTACTCTAATGCATGGAATCATTACTTATGGAATTTGTCTGTACTCTGTGTGAGACACTGTAAACATAAAAAGGGATAAAAACACAACAGTAACAACAAAACACAGGAAAAACAGTAGGACATAAATGGTTAATACAGCAAATGGATCAAAATGTAAAGAAGCAGTTAGAAAATAGCATTGTGCACCATGGTGGGCATGACGGTCTCATCATGCTTGCAATTTAAGTATCATCAGGCTTCCTGGTGGCATCATGGGAGATGAGGAAGATAATTTAAGGAAAACAATGAAAAAAAAATTGTGGTTATTTACAGGGTGGGCAACATGGAAGAAAAAACCCAAGTGTTTTCTGAAGACTTATCAAATGAGCAATGGAGATTATTGTTGCTGATTAATAACTGGGGACAAGGTTTTAAAGAATAAGAGCATGTAAGAAAGATAGGACATGAAGGAATCGGAAACTAATAATGCTTATATTTTACAGGGAAATACCAAACCATTAAGCTAAGAATATTATTTTTGCAGATGTAATCTGAGTCTTACCCTGCAGGCAATGTTGTATTTTTCAAAGTAAGAGAAGGAGTTTGCAGTTATCATAATGCAGCATTAAGACATCACCAGTATTCAGTGGATAAAATGGGTGTAACATACAGATATCGAGTTATAAGTCATATGTGAGGAAAAGAGAAAGGCTGGAGTGTGATCATAGGGTTAAGTGATTGTAGTCTTGTTCCAGTGATTTGAAACTAAAGATATAAGAACTCTGTATTTGCTAGGAAGAGGAACAAGAATCTAAAAAGAAATTATTAGGGTGATACACAAGATGAGTACAATTACAATGTTCTAAGGAGGGTGAGATCTGAAGAAAAATGTGGTTGTAATGGTGCCAAAAACAGCTGGTGGGTGAAAAATGGTGAAGGTGTTGTGTTTTTAAACTTTGTCTGGAAAGAGGTCATTGAAGAAATCCCAAGTGTCTGTAGCCACTGGAATGGGTCCACTGTAGTGCAATGAAGAGACACCCCACCACCAGCCCAAGCTGGAGTGTGTGTGTGTGTGTATTTGAAGAAAAAGAGAGCTGGGAACTAACCTCAAGTTAGGCAAAACAAATTTCACTGTATCTGAAAGTCAGATTTCTAGTTATAACTGATCATCTGCTTTCAGTCTACAGCCAATGGAGCCAGATGGTAATTTCCAGAGGAGAATTCATCCTGTGCATTTCTTACACTTACCTTAGAATGGAATGAGTCACCGCATAGAAATGCCCAGCTCGTTCCTTTTTCTTTAAAAAGTTCTTAAACAACTAGAACAGCTTGGTTCTAACCACCAAGGTAGATGAGAAAGCTTAGAAATGAGAGAGAGAGAAGAAGAATAGCATCTGGGGAGGCAACTGAAGTTTTCATTAATTGGAAAGTAAGGCTAGAGTTTATAAAGGAAAGAGCCAGAAACAAACAAGATACTAAACAGAAGTTAAGAGGATAAAAGTGGGCAATAGAGTGATCAGGGAATATGTCAGAGTCATGAAGCAAAAGAAGGGAGGGGATTAGGTGAGACCATTCTGTGTCTCTGAGGGTATAAAGGATAGTTGTGTAGGAAGGGTTGGAAAAAAAGTCTGAAGGGAAAGAGAAGAGCATAGAAAACTATGTCACTTTGTATGATGTTAGTAAGAGCCCATGGAGAGAAATATAGGTAAGGAATAGATCTAATGTTTAAAAAATGTCAGAAGGGAGGCAGAAATACTGAACAGATACAGGTATGCAAGTCTTCAATCCTGCTGTATTTATCAGTTAGAAGAAGGAGCATTCTTGCCTTGTCAGATTTGGGAGAAACAATTTTATTATGTGTGCATAGGAGAGGGGAAGGGTTATCTGACTGCCATTTGTTTTGTTTTGAAAAAGTAGCTGTTGTGCGACAGCTGTTGTACATACTTTTAGCAAATTATAACATATATGTGGATCTGAGTTTATAAGCTGGACTTGTCCATATATACATGCCTTTTGCATCAGTAAGCGTGTATCTGTTTTGATTTGACCCATATTTAGGCAATGATAATACTTTAAAAAAAGAAAAATATTCCCTTGGTTTTCACAGTTGTATGGAATGTGAATGCATTTATAAGGGTGAAACAAAATACCAAGCTAAATAAAGAAAATTCAATATTAAAAAAAATTGACACCTTTCACTGCACAGTGGTGTACTCTTCTTTGAAATACTAGCCACTACCCCCTCAAATGCAGAAAGAAAAGTGATTCAGAGAATAAATAGAAATTGAAGTATTGTCTTAAGAGATTTAGAAGACAGATATTATTTGCTATAGAGGGAAGTTAAGAAAATAAAATCATACACAATGAGGATTAGAATAAAGAAGGTAGATTTGGAACCTCCATTTGTATTAGGAGAGGCTAAAAACAAGATACAACTTGCTGGAATTGCAGCAAATTCACAAATGTCTTTTCTAATAAATGCATTTTGCTCCTCTCAAAACGCAGTTGGTTTATGGAACTGACTGTCACAGTTCAAGGTAGGGTTGAGGTTGCAAGTTTCAAAGGTTTTAAAGATTGTATCTAGCAAGTTGCAAAAGTATTAAGCTTGAGTAAAGTATGTATTTATTAAATTCTTGAAGGGAATCATAAATACTGGTAATCTGAGACATAATGCAGTTGATAAATAGCAAGGACTAAGAACGAAAGTTTTCTGCCTACTACCACTTTCCTTGCATGGCCCTTCTGAAGTAGTTGTTCATTGTAATTTTTTAGCTGAGACTAGCGTCTCCTCAGGTTTGCTTAGGTCATTTATCTTCTCTTCAGGTCACGGGGATGCAAATAATCCTTCCTGTACCATGTTATAGGCAAGGTTTAGGTGCTTTTACAGTCACCTTTGTATTTCGTTCACAGGAATAAACTTCAGTAGAATCTCTGTAGCTCTTTAAGTGGAGCTGTGCACTCTGTGAAGATTGTTTTCATGATATTCTTTCAGGAAACACCACCTTCATCCATGATTGATTAAAACTGCTTTAGGCATGAGACTGTCTCAAAGGACACCTTATAATAAACATATTGCCAGCTCCCCTGAGGGTGACATTATAACACTGAGGATTAACTGAGAAGACAAGCTGATTCAGGCTCAGATGAGTTCTAGCCACAACGAATGCTTCGTTGTTCAACTAAGTATCTGAGCATCTCATTGAAATGGACATCGCTTAGAGCACAGTTAGTTTTATGAAAAGATTGAAGACCACAAAAGAGTGAAGTCCAGTACATATAATGTGGTTCCAAACAAAAGGAAAAAAAAACCAAAACATCCAAAACATCTAGCTGCTGTGACTGTTCTTTAACTATCAGCAGCACTAGTTCATTTCTACTGGTTTTGGTTTTGCAGCAGGTCTGATCGCTAGTACTAATACAGCCAGGATAGAATCACAGAGTTTTTGAATCTGGTTACTGACTGCTTGTCTTTTCTGTTTTAATTCAAAAATACAATGGGGGCTATTTGAACAGAGGGAAATACTCATACAGTAAAACTAGCATCTCGCTCACCAGCTTTGCCTAACCTGGGACTTGTGCTGATTCACATGAAACTATCATTGAGGAAGAATACAGCGCAGTGTTGTAATTCTCATATGGTGAAACCAGTTAGTTCACCCTAAGGGCACTGAAATGTTTTCACAAACTGAGCTTAAGATTCTCCTGATTTGGTTCACCCTCATGCTTTCACATAGCTTGCTGTATCTGCCAGCTTTTGGACCCTAACATAGACTATTTGGATGAAACCTAGACATCTGGCAAATGGTGGCAACCCCCCACCTCTCCTCAAGGCACTAGCTTGATGTGTGTGGGTGGACTGGATCAGTATACTTTGACTGCCTGTGACAGGGAAGGGAAGAGGTTCCTCAGGTGTCTCTACATCATTAAATAAGATAAAGAGCACTGGGAAAGGGTTTTACCCCTTGCTGTCCATATATTTTGTACAGTCCCAACTATGCTTTTTACCAGCTCCTCACTTTTTAAATGAGGAAACAAAACAGAAGTTTGATCATCCTACACAAGTTCTGTTTCTCTTCTGGATGTTACATAAGGAAAAACATTTCTTCTTCCACACACCTTGTTCTTAAGCACCCAGGAAGGTTTTTCTTACAGTAACTATAGTGGATAAACCACCCTACTTTTTCCCACACTCTTTCATAAACATTGCACCTCTCCTCAGCAGGGATCCTTAATCCCATCCACGACTGTAGTAGCTGTGGTTTTGTGTTCCACCTTATCTCTACCAGGTCTGCCAGTGCAGCGGTATGGAACAGTGCTGAATGTAGAACATACTCAGCTGACTTTTGGTCATCTGAGTTATACTTTGATCTCGACATCTGAGCATGATCAAACCTTAACTATTTGGATTAAACCCAAACATCAGCCTAATCTGTACCTAGAGTTGTATTTCCTGCTTTGGCCCATTCAGCTTTTCAGAAAAGATACAGCTAGATCAACCTGATCTGTCATTAACCAGGTGCATCCAGTCTATTATTATGGGAGAGAAAAACTTGGTGTTGGGCTTTGGATGGAGAGAAGGATGAGTCTAAGCAAGGCTTGAGCTTAAGGAAGTCCTATTACAAGTTGTGCTGCCCTGGCTACAGCCCAGTGCTGCGGCTCCACCTCCATCATGTGATCCAGCGTGTCAGACTAGCATCTGTCACATAACCAGATCCACAGGATCTCTTGTTGTACCTTGAGAAGTCTTGGAAAAATAAACAGTTCATCTCCTTAAGCCATTAGGGAGTCAACTGCCTGTTTACCACCCCAGTGGTGAAATAAGTGCTTGGGAGGTGAAAGAGACCATGGCACCACAGCATGACTTCACATGCCCAAAGTGAAAATTATACCCACAAAAGCTGCCACTACAATTTTGAGCTTGGAGCATTCTCCAGATCTCTCATGGTTAATACTGTGGAATGTTCCAGCTGTGTTTGTAGTCACAAATGTAGGATGGAAAGCCAGTCCATAATTTTCTACCCACTGTTTATAAGTGCTGCATGTTCATAATGTGGGTTTTTCTTTTCGCTTCCCATTGTCTTGATATAGTCTGACTCAGATTTGGGGGTGGGGACAGGGGGAGGGAGGAGGGGGCATTTTTAATGTTGTTATACCATATGAGGAGGTTTTTTGTTTTATTTATTTGGGTTTTGTCTGTGTGGCTTATTTTCCAGAGTTATTTCTACAATGATGACACTTTTAACTTCAACTACGCCCAAGCCAAAGCTGCCATGGGCAATTTTAGTGAGGCTGAAGAGGTATGTATTTACTTTCTTTAAAAAACAACAACAAAGACATTTCCCACATACTCCCCTTTTTCCTTCCTTTTCTCTCCCTCCAGATCTTCATGTTGGTTAAAAATATGCAGGTTGGGTGAAACATCATCTTCCCCTTCTTAGAGGAACTGAAACTCTCAGTGAACACTATTCAGAAAAGATTATTTTGCTAATCTTGTAATGTGAGGTATATGGGGAGTCACGCTGCTTGTGGCGCATCACAAGAGTGCTCACAGCTATCTCTAATTGATCAAAGAATGCCCTCTTAATCAGATTTCCTACGCTTTGTCTGGGATCCCAGGCAGTCTTATTGTGCAGACTGACTAGGGCGTGCTGAGTAAAAGACACTGAATAGTTAAGGACTTCTAGGTGTCCCTAGAAATTTGTGTAAAAAAAAAAAAAAAAAAAAAAATTTCTTCCTCTGGGAAATGTGGGTGGAAAGCAGGAAGTGCTTACTATCTTATTCAGCAGCATCCAGATGCAGCTGGAAGAGATTAACTTCTACACACAGCATTTTTTGTGTCTATGTGCAGTAGAAACTTAATTACAACGAAAATATGCAAAAGCAAATAGCTATTATGAAGATGGAAGCAACATTTTCCACAAGACCAGAAAGAAGACAAGCCAGGAAAAAAAAAAAACAACAAACCCACAACCAACCATGTAGTCTAAAGTGAATCATATAGGTTTGGTTTTTGGCTTTTTTGTTTGTTTTTTTGTTAGCTTTTTCCCATCTTTCTAACTTTTTAACTCTTCAGGTTTCTTAACAGAAGAGCCCCCTCTGGGGTTTTTTCTTGGATTTTTTTTTTCCTCCCCAGCACCCACCCCCTCAATTTCTGTTACCTGAAATTCTCTCTTTAAGTAAAATACCCAAGACTGTCAGGCAACATGGATATATATTTCAATTCACCTACCTTAATTTAGTTAGCTTAATGAAAATGCAGGTGAGTATCTTAAAATTATGCTAGCAGGCAGTGCTGATAAAAACGATAATGCTGTAAGTAAGCTTTAGCTGCAGTCCGGCAACAAAGAAACACAGATGTGTAAACTGCTGTTAATCCACAGTTTTCCTCTTACATACTTAAAAATGATTCGATGTAAACTTGTTATGTAGCTGATGCATATAAATAACAGGATTATGTAATTAAATTGATTAGCCTGCCCTACTGTCTGATCTTTGCCTGTGATGACACTTTCATATAAAGATCATCCTTCCCTAGTTCATAAACTCCACATGTAGCATTTATTAACTTATTAAAAGCTTACCTCCCTGGACATAATGAAATAAAACCTATGATAACGTACTACTTACACTGATAATGCTGCTGCTTTTTTTCTTTTCCCCACCCCCAAAATTAGAGGGTTAGCAATGTGTAACCAAGAAAAATGGCAGTAATTTGTGGAACTCACTGTTCCAGTACATACATCTGCTCCTACAAAAATATTTTGAGTTTTTCCAGTAGCATCCTAGTATAGTTACAAATATACCTGTAGAGAGGCATAGGAGGCATAATACCTTTTTTTTACCACCCCCCGCAACAAGTAGAGCCAGAGTACGTTTTAAAATGTATAACTTCCCCCTACACATCCCTTTAAATGCAGAATGTAATAAACCTGTATTTGTACATTAAGTTACAAAAGACAAATGTTTTGCCTTGGAACCTTACTGAAACCAAAATGGTTAGAAATGGCTTATTGCCGACCTGGAATGATCTCTGACATGTATGGGGAGGAAAGGCTCATCTGTATGTGAAACTTCTGGTATTTCAAGAAGATGCTAATGTAATTGCTTGCATCGCTTTCTAAACAAACACGTTCCCAAATAGCTTTTCCCACAGGCTCAGTGTTCCTTTGTGCTGTTTGTGTTGCGTGGCCACACACTGGCACTTGCTCAGAGCAGGCTGCGCCCTCTGCCCAGCCTGGCCTTTTGAAGCCACAGAAGTCCCTCGATAAGCATGGCACTGTTTGAATCCTCCACCTACCCGACAGAGAGATGCCCCAACACTGCACTCTTCTCGTGAAGCAGTTGTTCCTGTGGCTTAAGCCTTAGCTGCATGTTGAAACGAGGCAGGTCTGCCTTCTGTTTGTTTAAAAGTACGCACATGTATAATCTTTTATTTTCCTTCTTCCTGCAGGTGTTCCTTTTGATCCAGAGTGAGAAGATAAAGAACGATTTTGTTTACCTTAGCTGGCTAGCTCGCTGCTGTGAGTCACTTTTCTCTCCACATTGCAGAATACAGATCCTCCTCTATTGCATCAGTCTTGGCAATCCAGTTTCCTAATTGAATTTAATGTTGTAGGTGGATGCAGGACTATGAAAGTGAAAAGCTGATTGCAGTAGTTACAGTGTGGGTGGTTACTGTACCTTTCATACATCTGGCTTTAGTAAGCAATTACTGCTTCAGTGTAATGCTATTGTAGTTCCATCAACGCAGTTATGTCCTAACCAGTGAACCTTTTCCTTCTCAGTTGTTTACTTAGAAAATCTTCACTCAAGCAACTATCTTAAAAGACTGAGTTAGAACTCTAAAATGCTCAGAGTAAAATACAAAGTAAAAGCATCTATACTGAGTCAGGCCCAAGGGTCTGTCTATTGCCATGAGAAGCCAAAAGGGAAGAGAAGAATCAGGCAAGCACACACAATGTTTTTCTTCCCACCGTGGTACTCTGCATGTTCTCCAAACTCCTGTGCCTGAGGGATGTCCTTTATAATCTCCAGCATGTTTTTTTGCCCAGAAACTTTTCTGTTCTTTTCTTGAACCCAGGAAGCTTTTCCTATGTTTAATATCCTCTAGCAAATTTTATTTAGTTTTTCTTAACCAGTTTTTAAAACATTGCAGAGTACACCACAGTACAGATAAAGCTACAATGCAGTACCATATGCAAAATAGTACAGAGGTATGCTTTTCTAATGACTCAAGTCTGAGACTCCCTAGGCTAATTTGTTTTCCTTACAGTGCCTCAATACAAAAATGTTCTCTTATCAAACATTTTTCAGTAGTTGTACTTGGAATGCAAATATGTACGTTTTGGGACGTTATGCCATATTGCAGATGTGGTCGACATCTCTAATGTGATCTTTCCAGACAGACATATCACACCTATGGATGCCTATCTATTACTATTTTAGGAGATGCTACTTTATTTCCTTTTTCATTAAGCTGCAGTACACGGTTGTGTCTGAGTGCTTTATATGTGAATGGTTTATGTGATATTTTTAATAATTTTTTTTTGATGGGAGAACTCCCGTTGCAAAGGTAATTCATGGTTGTTCAGTAGATAACATTCATCCCTTTGATTCTGTGCTATAGTAGTTCTTTGACATACATCTGGGGATGCAGAACTCTTTGAAGGTGCTACTTATACAATAAGAAGAATTAACACCATGTTAACAATTAAATTTTGTCTAGCTCTTTTATAGGATTTGCTATTTATTCTTGAGCGTGCCTTTTGCCATTCTGAATTCCAGCTGAAGTTTCAGTAGAGCTGCTGTATTCTTCTGTGTCTGTCTTAAAATTTTGATTTTTCATTCCCAAACAGCTGCTGGAATTCTTTGAAGAAACAACTGTTCAGTGATGAATGTAGTTATCTTTTTGTGTCAAGTATGTAAATTACTATTAGATCCTTCTGGATGAAAGCTGCTGTAGAAGTTGCAAAGTACTATAATACATTCTTGTCAGAGTATGATTAGGTATTGAGTCATAAACAATTCAATGCTGAAAGATTTCCAAAGGGCAAGAAGTATCAGAGATGCATCTTTTTTTGGATGCTGGACAGTATTTTTTGTTTAATAGTATTGTACTATTTATACCCAATTCTTCTTGAAGAGAAGTTAAAAAACCCACTAAATTAGCACAATACACCATTTCTCTAGATAGATGGGTTGGTGTTTGGAAATGAAGACCTGGCTGTTTGCCACTGTGTATGGTATCTGGAGCCGATGAAAGAAAAATCTGGTTTGATGTCTTGCTGCCTCCTAAATGAGAATTGTCTATAAATCCTGTGATTTGGTGTTACTTGTTTATTGTTGATGATTGCTGTGCATTCTAAAACAGTCCCTCTTTCGAAAGAGCACAAGAGTGGTTTACATGTGAAAAAACTTGAAAAAGAAAGGAAAGCTTTATTTCATTTTCTTTCCTCCCAGTACTTGAATGAGTCTGGAATTACCAAAATCAACCTCAGATTCAACAGAATGGATTCTTATCTCCAGAAAATCACAATTTTGGAACTCTTTGTGTTCAAACACCCTAGTAGAATTTCCACTAGCTGAGATGGAAGATTCAGATTATTTTATTTCCATTGTGTATAGTGGTGATGTTTAAAGTTAGACCAATGAAAAATTCTAGTCATATAGGCAAATTTAAAACCAGCGCAAATTCTCAGGAATTTAGAAACATTTTTTCTAGTGGACACATAGTGACAAGCTTTGTTATGCTTGGAGGGGCTTTGCTCCCCCACTCACCCCCCTTTTGGTTTGTAATGAATCATGGGAGTTGAATGTTTAGATTGAGGTGGGCACCAAGCATTAAAGATCTCAGTTCAATGTCAATTAAATTTTTTCTGTGTGTAAAAACACATAATCCCAAATCTCACCATCTAAAGGGAATGCCACAGTTCATTGTCCTGCATAAAGTAACTTCTCTAGTGCTTTTCTTTCTGTTCCTTCATAACATCGGAAATCATGAGAGTTGTGCTTATTGTTGTATCTGTGAAATACAAATTGAGATGTAAATTTAATAGTTAATCCTCTTGACAATGGTAGTCTCTGAATTGGCTATCACTATTAAGGCAGAAGATAAAGCCAAGTTTCCCTTCCCATCCTTCTGCTCACAGAGTGAGGCATGTGTTTACATTAAGCAAAGGAATTTAGGAACATTTATTCCACCTGCCATTGAGTATTGTGTGTGGCATGTTCTTTTCACAATCCCAGCTTTTTGTTGTTATTGCAGATATTATGAATAAGAAACCGCAGTTGGCCTGGAACCTCTATCTGAAGATGGAGACCTCAGGGGATTCCTTTAACCTATTGCAGCTCATAGCAAATGATTGCTACAAAGTGAGTCTTCTCTTTAGAACTGTGTATATGGCGTGTTAATTCAGTGATTGTACCAACAGCCATTTTCTTGATAATTTCCATCAGTGTCATCACTAGTAAACTTTCTTTTATAACGGTGGGATGTCTAATAATGTAGATGAGTTGGCAAGGATTAATCGGTATTTTAACCTACAGACCTTCTTGGTGGACAGCCCACTGATTTAAAATGTTGGTAAATTACTGCATGCTTGAGCTATCAATAACTATAACAGTTTTTTCTTCTATTAGGGATTCATTGTTGGTAGAAATGACAAGAAACTTTTAAGAAAAAAAAAATCTAGCATAGGTTCAGCGAGGAGCCTCATACTGCATTGTCTTTCTGGGACTGTTATTTTTTCCTTAAAGCTTTTAATGGCAATGGGAGATAGCTCCTTTGTTAATCATAAGAAATGGAAAGAGAATTCCTACAACTACTATTCTATTACCCAGGTGGGACAAAGAGATGCAGGGTGTGTGTAGTCATTAGGAATAAAACTATGCGGAAAAAATGGTGAGCTTAACTACCAACAGTGGGATCCCTGCTAACACATAATAGTTCTTTTTCTGAACCTTTTCTAGACGAGGACTTTTAAGGACATGAGGTTAGACTAAGCTGTCTAATATTTTTAAAAGCCAAGCTAGACAAGATAGTGGCCACTTCAGTGGCATTTTAGAGACATTTTAGAACAAGTTAAAATATATGGACATTTTAGAACAAGTTAAAATATATGCTGCCTTGCTTGTACTAAGCTTCTAGATTGTGTTTACTAGTTCTGATGCTCCATGTTAAGAAACTGCTGGCACATCTCCAAATCCTAGTTTATACAAAGCTATGTTAATAGTGAAGAGGTCTTGGGAAGCTAGTTACAATTCTGCCTAAATTCGTAACATCTCATTCTTCAAATGGTGCCTGTACACAGTGAGACTTAGTTCTGATCAAGTTTTTTTTTCTCTTCTGCAAAGCGTGGAAAGAAAACCCGCATGAGAGCTTCATCTGCAAAAGGGATGTAGAAGCACAGAAAGAAAACTTGAGAGGATTGTAAATGACTCTATAGGAGACAGAAAAATTGGTTGTCCTACGCAGAGTACTGCTGTGCAAGATTTCAGTAGACAACAATAGGATGCTGTATTTGGCATCCTTTGCCATCATGGATGCTTGCACTGTGTTGGGACCTAGAGGAGTAGCAGCTCAGTGATAGGAGAAAAGGATGTTCTTTGGAAAAGTGTCATGGTGAGACATGCCATCCACTTTTCAGAATGTAGTGACCAGAGCCAGCAGGTGGACTGAAGTTATTTGGGGAGCAACCGTATGAGATTTAAATTAAATGTAGACTATAAAGACATATTGTAATTTTGTGATTGTGCAAATACAGTTCAATTTTAAGAAAGCAGGTGTGAGAAGAAGAGCAGAACACAGATAACAGGTAGAGCTCATGGAGCTGGTTCAGCAGAGCCTAATGCAAGTGAATACACAAGAGCCAGCTATTAGCGTGGGCTTGTTAGTGATCAGACTTGCTATCATCAAGGAAAGATAGCAAACTGAGTCCTATTGGTAAAACCTCCGAATGGTTTTCAGTTCAGCCAAGCTCTCCAAAGAGCTGCAATATCCAAATACAATCTGTAACATTCTTTTTTTACTGTTTTCCTGCGTCTGACAAAGTAACATGTTCTCAAAAATCCTAAGAAACACGTATCTGAAAGTCAGAAAATCTACCCTGTGATCTCAAAAGCATTCTTCTAAAACTGAGCGAATTATCTCTTGCACATCTTTCAAGTGTTCAATCCACCATTTCACCCTAAAAGTCTTGTTGCTCAAGCAAGGGGCTATGCCTCTGGTGTTGCCCATAGCTGCAATTTGTGAAAGTGAATTGATAATCAGACCTTATGTAAAATCTCTCTCTAGACTATTTTGTGTCTCACTTAAATCAGTCGATTACTTTGCCTAACTTCTTCTCAAAACCTTATTGTACACTAGAGGAGAAGCAGCTCTACACTTTGGATTTATCTAGAGCTCTTACAAACAATACTTAGAGGACTAAATTTTTCAGACTAATTATGTGTCTACATATGGCTATAAATAACTGCTCCAAAGACCAAGGGATTTAATTTAAAAAATTACTACTGTAATATTTTAACTCATCTTTCTATATTACCAGCTCTTTGTACCTCTTCCACTAAATGGCAAGGGCCATGTCGTTTGAGTTTTTATAGCATTTTCCAGCTGTTTCTGAAACTTCGTGTTGTTTTGGAGGTCCAGAGACAGCACCATGTCTGTAACTTCAGAAGGCAGTGGCACTGGGCTTCACTCCACAGAATGCTGAATGAATATGGATGGAGTAAGGCCAACAATGTCCTGAGAGTATGTGTAGCTGGATGCCCTATTGTTGTGCTGATAGAAGTTGTTCAATGAGGAAGCTGGGATGCAGGACTTCTGGTTAATTTCTTGCTGCTTTTCACACACACGATAGCTCATTTTATAGCTCATTTTATCCGTAGAGGGAACAGCACATGACTTGGGGTGAAGAATTTCCTGCTTTTATGTCAGATAGAAGGAGGACATTAAACTGGTATCTGCTTAATTGAACTAGATCAGATGCCAATTTTGAGTATTCATTTTTTTCTCTTTAGCTGATACATTTGACACTCTTTATACTCACTGTCTTTATTCCCATCCATTTAAGTGCTTGCCAGTCATCTGTGGTTAAAATCACCATTTATGTGAAGAAAATGGAATTATTACTCATTTAAAAGACATCCAAATATGTCTCTCTGACCATCTCTACATGAGGAAAAGTGGTTCCATTTTCAAATGTTTGGACTAGTTTGAAGTTGATCCTTCTATCAAGGACTTTGTTATAGCCTGTGCAACACTAGATAGGACACCTAATAAAAAAGAAGTTCTGTAAGTTAGTGTTATCTCTTTATGATCAAAACAACAGTGCTGATTTTTGCCAACTAATAAAGTTCACAGTGCAGTTTGTCTGTAATATATTCAAAGACATAGACCAGTAATGTTATAATACCACCTGTTCCCCTACATAGAACTGAAATGTGCCTGTTCTGTGTCACTTGCTGCCTGCAGAAAAACAGGAACATGCACATTGCTTCTGTGACTTCCTGCTGATTTCAGAAAACTGAGCTCAAAATTTTTAATTCCCTTTTGAAAGATGGCTGAATAGTCGGGAATAATGTTTCACTTTCTGTGCAGATGCGTCAGTTTTACTATTCAGCCAAAGCGTTTGATGTTCTGGAGAGACTGGACAGTAATCCCGAATACTGGGAAGGCAAGAGAGGTGCTTGTGTGGGTGTCTTTCAAATGATCATAGCTGGCCGAGAAGCAAAGTGAGTATTCTCTGTTGTATCTGAATTTATTTTGCTTTCTTCCTATTTCCAGTGAGCTGTAAGCCAGGATCATAATCCTAACTTTAGGAATACATATCCTCTTCCACTTCTTTACGGACCTTTCAGAGGACAGACACTCTGGCCAGTGGTTCCGTAAGCAGCGTTCAGTTTGAAGTGTATCTTCCATACCAGCAGTTATAGAATATATGGTGGAGAATAACTTACCAGTGAATGCTTTGAACTGAAGGAAACAAAAATACATCAGTCATTATACTAGGAAGAGCAAGTTATAAATGTAGTATGTTCATGAGCTGAGGGAAAAGAACCTCATTTTGTGTTGATGGCATAAGAATGGAAAACTGTCCCATGACATTTTAAGGTTTGTAGAACGGAACTAAGGAAACATTTACTCAGTGCTGTTGGAAAGACACGATTTCTCTAAAAAATGAGTAGATGAGACTGTTTTCACTAAAATTTACTTTCTGGAGACACTGTTCATGTCAGACAAATAGACTTACTTAGTGAAAGCCTAAAGAAAATTATTTACCTTACCAATAATTTTACTTTTGGCCCATTTCACTGGATGGGAGAATGAGAGAAAGTGGTGAGGCTGTATTTAAGAACTGTTCCCTTGTGAATACTCCACTGTGATGCCAGATGGCCATTCTCCCCTGGCCAGAGTTGCTGTTTCGTACCTGACTGGTAAATGTGTATCTTGGCTTCTACATCTTCCTTGTATTCCCATCTCTGCTGGAATAATCTCATTAACTACTGCACCCTTCAAGTGTCCTTTTAGCAATTACTGCAGTAGATGCAGTAAAATACACATAGTGTGCCTGTTTTTCAACATGCGTACTAGTTCATGCTGTAAAGTAGCTAGCAAACTGCAGCTTCATACTGGTTTATCCTATTGGCAATATTCATTTCCATGTCTTTGTATTTATATGTAAGGTGCTTTGGCAGCATTAAGCTGGATGCTGCCATACTGAAGAGTAGCAAGTACAATTAAAGAAAAAAATAGTTTACTTTGTTCTGGGGAACTATTTTGCAAGAGTAAGGATTTCTATATAAATCTATCTGTGCGCACTGAACTCCAAACTAATTACGTTTTGCTGTTGGTTTTTTTTACTCTAAATTTATCTCCTTGTTGCAATTGTATACAAGACTTTTTGGGTGGGTTTTTTTGTCCCCTGGGATCCTCATCTACTGTACATTTTTACTTACTCCTGCTCTGCAGATACATGGATCTCTTTAAGAACCATGTTTTGCAAAATAGTTTGGATGTGGGTAGTTGTTTTTTGTATCAATTGGCTCTTACCTTCATTTAAATCTTTGCTTTTCACCTCTGTAGAGACACTATACGGGAAGTGCTGCACCTTCTGAAGAGCACTGGTAATTCTCAAGTAGAATATATTGTCCGCATCATGAAAAAGTGGGCCAAGGAGAACAGAGTCGCTGTTTAATTCAGTGTCACAAAGTGAACCAGGTCGGTTACTATTGTATGTGTGGCTGTTAGATGTGGGTCTTGGTTTCGCCTGTGCATTCTGGGTATCTCCTTCCTTGCAGGACTTTAGATGGTCAAGCAGGTTGACTCAGTTGAACAACAATGTAGTGCAGTGAGATTGCAAAATATTCGGCAAGTTTGGGTTTTTTTTTTACATAAAGCTTTATCGGTACTTTTTCTGTTGCACCACACACTATTCCTCATTCAAGGTTTTAGTTATTTAGTAGGAATTCCAACTGTCCAGAAGTCAAAGTGCTCCTCAGATGTTTCCCAGATTTCTGCACAGGTGTTTCTGGACTGCTTTGTGGGGTTTTCTTCAGCAAGCTTTCTGGTCTCTGGAGAAGACCTTGTTAAAAGACTGAGACAAATCTACTTCAGCAAGTGATGGAATGTGGCAAGTAGAGAGGATGATGGATAAAACCAAAAGCCAGTACTAGGGTATCAGATAATACATAAAGACTTCTGTATTTTACCTGTCTGGGGTAAAATACAAACTATATTCTGAGCACTGTCCTTTTCTGGATATCTCTCTACTGAGATACTAATACCTTCATTTTTAAATTTTTGACTGTAAGGATTGTTTTTTCTCTTAACATTATTTCTGAAAATGAGTGTTAATCAGCCCAAAATGCTAACTTGCAAAGTAGCTTATTTCCTTTCTAGGTTGATAGCAAAGCATGATGGTACCATCTTTTCAGAACATGGAGATCTGACTGACTGTATTGTTCAATCTTGCTTTGAGGTTTGACACTCAAAACATTTATTCATGTTAATATAATTCATGTAAGTAATCCATTTAGTTTAGCAATCTGATGGATAAAAGAACTGGATGTTTTGAATAATTTTCTTCAGCATTTACCACTCCCATTAGCAATACATTTATTATACTTTTGGATTTATTATACTCTCCTGGTTTTTTTATGAAGAACAATTCAGGGAATATATAATTCTAAAAAAAGGCCACAGTTGTAATATAGAAGTGTATTATACATTTTGTAGTGAAAAACATTTGGATATTATTTGTAAAAGGAAAATTCACATTTTGTAAATTTGTAAAATACTTATAATGTATTTTTTTATCTTTTGGGGTGGAAACTCAGAATACTGTATTCTCTAATGTCAGTGCTTTGATTAAAGCCCTTAATTGAATCCACAGTTGAATGTCTTGTTGGTCTGTGTTGCTTCATACTGCAGAAGTTGAAATAGTGTATTCATTTTGCTGTGGAAGAGGGCAGATTTGTGGCTGGTTGTTAAATGCATGTATAGTAATTGGCTGAAGGCAAGCCAATGGTCTTGGTCCTGATTTTATGGTAGTTTGCTGAAAATAAGAAGGCTGAGTGTGTATGGAACATATACACCTTTCTCCCACATAATATGTCAGTGTTTATATTGCTTTAAGCAAAAACTGTGGGTATCATCATTCATGTATCTAGAAGTACATTGATAGTTGTGGCTACTTGTATTTACATGCATTTACATCTAGAAAACTGATCCATCATACTAGCAACAGTAATAGAGTCTTTCAGCAGGGGTAGGGGCAATGTCACTCTGATTCTAAGTAGGTGTGAAAGGAGCAGTATTTTTACTGAAAGCAGTTACAAAACACATTTCACTTGTAAAAGGTGTTTTTCTTTTCCCTCCCAGTTTAATTAACTAGGAAACAGATCGAGAATACAATTATGAGTCTTGGTACAAAAATGCAAAAAATCACGTTGGTGACTTTGTAGCAGATGTTAAATGCATCTAATTAGTCCCTTTATTGAAGCTTAACCTGCAGGAGACCTGAAGAGCATCCAAATCCATTGCAGACCATTTTACATGTTGGTTGTGTGATAGAATGATTTAGTTGGAACAGACCTTGAAGATTATCTAATTCCAATGCCCCTGGCAGGGACACCTTCCACTAGACCAGGTTGCTCAAAACACCATCCTGCTTTCAGGGATGGGGCATCCACAGCTTCTCTGGGCAACCTGTTCCAGTGTCTCACCACCCTGACAGTAAAGAATTTCTTCCTAATATCTAACCTCAATCTACCCGTTGTCCTGTCACTACTTTGCATGATAAAGAGGCCCTTCCCATCTTTCCTGTAGGCCCCCTTTAAGTACTGGAAGGCTGCTATAAGGTCTCCCTGGAGCCTTCTCTTCTCCAGGCTGAACAACCCCAACTCTCTTAGCCTGTCCTCACAGGAGAGGTGCTCCAGCCCTCTGATCATCTTCCTGACCCTCCTCTGGACCTGTTCAACAGGTCCATGTCCATCTTACGTTGGGGACTCTAGAACTAGACATAGTACTCCCGGTGTGGTCTCACAAGAGCCAAGTAGAGGGACAGAAACACCTCCTGCGACCTGCTGACCAGAGAATCTTCTAAAATAAGTGTGGTGGCATTGCAGCATAAGGGCTTGGGAACTAATTCTTTGTCTGTGACCAGTGATGAAGTTTTTGAAAACCTCACCTTTATTCACTGTAGTCACAAAGTCGGATTTGTTGTGCTGAATAACGTGGGGTTTAGCACAATGCATTTTATTGACTGGTGGTAATAACGCTTTTGTCATTTAAAACATAAAGAACAGAGGACAGCAGGGCTTTGCCTTGAACAGAGATGAAATAAAAGATATATATTGCATATTGCCCTACCATTTAGGATCTTGGTAATGGAACAGATATGTAGGTACTATTAAAATGCAGAAAAGTGCTGAAATGTTGGTGTTTATTTTACCTTAGAAATACATCCTAAGAATGTCTTCCATTGTTTAATTTTAGATCATATTCAAAGAACAGTGGTGTGAATAGGAGTTGCCTTAGCTGATACAGAAAGGAAAGTTAATAAAGAATTTCTAAAGCTGTTTCTCAGGTAGAGTTAACAAAATTTTATCCCTGCCCATTTCCACATTTTCCTGAACTGTGGAAATGTAAAGAATCAAGGTACTCTAAATAGGACAGCTAGGAGTGAAGGTAGATGTGGAAAAAAAGCAGCAACAAAAGTGATGTATGCAGAACAAGCAGGCAATGAAGAATGCATGTGCAGAATCAGGGAAACAGCTAAGTTTATTGGGTCGGGAGTAAGTGAATATAAAATTGAAACAGTGGCATTTTAGATAATGTAGTGGAAGAGAGACTAAGGCAGAAAGAAACTGATGCATCATTAGAATTTCAAGGAAGAGTATGGAAAATACAGTTATTTCTTATGCTCTGAATAAGTATCTGATTCAGGAAAATAGGCTCTAGAGAATGCACAGAAGGTACTGTGCTAGCAATCATAGAATTAATAGTGACTGATAGAGAAAGCCAAATCTGAAACAGTGTGTAACTGCTCTTCGTTGGGTGCTGACCCATTCCTGATAGAGAAGGAAGATGACCTTTAATTAAACTTAGTAATACCTGAACAACATTTAAAACATTTAGTAACATCTAAGTGAATTACACTGCAGGGGAGGACATTTATCCTGTCTGTTGCTGCAAGTGAGTTCCAGGATAACTTCCGCTTTGGCCTGCATCTGAGCTGACCCAATATAGCAGCAACCCTCTTGGAGTAATTCTGGAATCCAGCATGTAACTTCTGAGCACAGTAACAGCTGGAGCCAAGTAATGAACTGAACTGAAGGTGGCAAGTTCATTGTGAAGGAAAAGTCACGTCCTGTTCCAACTCTGTGGGCTGGAGCAGGCATTTAGGTTTATGTGGTTCCTGCAGCTTGAAGATTGCTCGTTGATCTTCATAAGAAGGTTGTCTAAGGCTGAATAAGGAGCTTGGCCGTTAACTAGTAAGGCACAAAATAAACAATTAGATGTGTAGCTGTTGCTACATGTAGCTTCACTAGATGGGAGCGATGCATACATTGAGGAACACATCTGGGTTTTGCCCATTGGTTTACTCTTTAACCAAATTCTCCCTGTATTATCTCCAGAAGTAATTTCCAGCCACTCTTTTTTTGAGTTTCATTTCCAGACTTCTCTCTCAGCAAGATGATAGATTTCATCTGCTAGTTTTTGTGTTGAATCCAGTACTTGGATTTCCATAAAAAATATTTGCCAGAAAAACTTAAGAGTCTTAATTTGATGGTGGATAATGAAAAAGCCATAGTTTTACCTTGCAATTTATTCAAATGGTTAAATTGCCTTTGCTCTTTTAGAAATTGTAGTTTAATTCTAAATTCAGCCTTGTTTGGCCTTGTTTTCTAATATTTGCTTCTTCCAGTGTTCATCTTTGCTGTTAGTCATTGAAGCCTAGCGATCTTTTGCTTGGTTTGGTTTTTTGGTGGTTTGTTGTTTTGTGTTTTCTTTTAATTTTTAGATGTGCATAAGCTGCAAGCAAGTTACCTCTGTCTGTATTAAAGACAGCATCCCTTGCAAGGATATTTTCTAGGCTGGAACACTGGCAATCAGTTTGTCAACAGATTTTTTTTAAAAACAACATGGCCATGTAGCACTAGGCATAATTTATCACCATATGTGACATTGGAATACGCTCCTCCATGCTGCTGCTTACTTTTCTCCTACAAGTGTACTCAAAGACCGCATTCACCCTTTTTACCATATTATCACAGGGGGAGTTTGCATTAAATTGCTTCTCAGCTGTGACATGACATCAATTTTTTTCCAGAACTGGTATTTTCCAGGGTACAGTCTACCCTTCAGAAGAGACAGCCTACCCTTAGCTCTACAAAAAATATTTTTTTTTGAATGGGCTCATTTTTCTAGCTTGTGCAGATCACTCTGTGTGACTGCTTTATCCTCACTAACTACTCGTCTGTTTCTCTGCAGTGTTCTATTAGCGCTATTTTACATCTGTATCTAGATCCCCAAGGGATAAGTTGGATCGCCCATTCTTCCAGAACCCCACTAAAGTAAACCCCAAAAACATTCTATTAATGATGACAGATGGTTACTTTTCATCATTTGTCATTCTCAACTTATTTTCTGTGTATCTTATGGATACTGTATTATGCTATTTTTTTAAATTAGATGTATGACATTAGAAATGTATGTATTGCATTTGTATAACTGCAATATTGTTGTATTCAGCTAAACTTGTAAAAGATCCGTGTCATGGGAGCTAATACTTCCCATTCATTCTTTCTAAGATGAACCTTACAGCATCCCAGAAAGATTGATGAAGTCCAGTTGTTCAAGGCTGCTTGCAGAATTTGAAATAACTTTTTTTTTTTTTTTCTCCCCACTGTAATCACATTTAGAAACCATACACCAAAAGCTTACCTTTGACTTTGCAGAGTTTAAATTTTCATTTGGAACAAATAAAGCAGGCATTTCACATCTCTGGGCAAGGGACAGTTACTAAATTCCTTATGGGTCTTCTTAATTGATGAATTACACTAGCATCTATTTATAGATTTTAAAATAAAAATCTATATTTAGTAAGAGCTGTGACTTTTGAGAAGACACAGTGTAATCTTACAATAAAAAAGGAAGTTCTTTTTCAATTCATACTTAAACATTGTATTGCGCTTAGTTGCTCCACAGTATATTATTCTTAGTAATTATTTAAGAGAATTTAAAATAATAAATGCAGTAAAATAAGTAGTGGTCTTTAAAATGTTTTTACACGTAGATCTTCAAGAACCTGAGACTTGAGTTACTTTGACAGAAAATAGGCTATGGGGTAGCTTTCAGTAGTTCTCAGATACAGCTAAACCTAACTGAAAGGTGTGATACTACCTTTGCTGTTGTCTCTGAATTGCGCATCCACACACCGAGGAATTGCAGTGCTTTTTTGGAGTCCTCAAACCACACTTTAAGCTGGCCCTTAATTAAGAAAGAGTGATGAGCCTCAGACTCCGCCATCTGTTCCTTGATCACTGTAAGCAACTTCCATGTGGGCAGTTCTGTGAAAAACCACACACAACAATGCAGAATTATATAACATACAATAACACATTTTAAGAATCCATGTAATAACGTTGAGATGGTTTATGTCACATGGAAAAGAACCGTGCTTCAGTTCTAACAGTTACATTGTGCATCGTAACAGCCATAATTTTCTTTGACAATTTTGTCCTGCTTAAGCGTGATGGGATAATTATGACTGTGTACTCTAAAGCTACTGGTAATCTTTCCCTTGCCTCACATCAGTGGGTGAGGTCATTATATGGGTAGCCATTATGTGACAAAACACAATGTCCTACTTTGCAGAGCTGGTGAATTAATTCGTATCACATGAAGTAAACGTATCTCTTGACTATCAATCCATGTGTGACAGCTGTGTCTAAGGAAACTTTAGAAAAATTAAATTACAAAATTAGAAAAACCACTAAACCAGGTCTTAAACTGCCTGGTAGGTTCCCAGTACTAATAGTTATCATAATATCGGTATTCTACAAGTTCAGTCTTTTGTCTGACTTATTCATGATGCCACATGTGCTGAACTTAGTCATCCCTGAACAAACTGGGAAGTTATTTGTTTATATAAAACAATGGTGGTTTTCCCCACCATTTAAAGGCAGAAGAGCTATTTTCAGGTCCCAGCAAAGTAATTTCTGAGGCAAGTTTTACAAGACTTCCCGTTCAAGTTTGAGTAGTTGTTCCCAAACAGGTTCTGTGGCTGCATCCGCTTTTCATTCCTGCACGTTCTCCTTCCCCACCAAGCGTTTTCCCTTCCCGTCTGCCCACCAACGTGACTGGCCTTACAGGACTACCACGAGGTACTGCCAAAGTACTGCCTTCTTCCATGTACCTCTGCCTCCTCTCGCCCCACCTCGCAGCATTTCTGGCCTGGCTCTGCTTCACAGGCGTTCTGGGCAAGATTTGGGCAGGGCTGTAGAATACGCTAAGTCCTGCGGAGGACTAGGAGTCAGCACGACACCGAGAAATAACTCAGTCTCTTAAAACGGTGAGGAAGTATTCAGATAAGTACTCAATACTAAGTTAAATCTGACTGAAAAATTACTTATCAGTCTAAGCAGGAATTCTTTTAAGGCCAGGAAAATGACATTTGAAATAGAGCTGTCATACAGAAAACATAGGTTGTTTTCACAAGCATTTCCGAAACGCAGTGTCCACTCTGTTCTTACAATCATCACTGCTACTGCTGCTGTTCTACCCTTGTTTTAATATGCTCAAAACCTTGAAATTTCACGTCTTCTCAAAATACAACTTGAGGTGGCAAGAAAACAGAGTTTAATAAAATTCCATTTGTGTATTTAAATTATTCATGTATGGAAAATCATTTTTCGTAAGTAATTTTTTCAGATGCTATTTTTAATGCTGTGGCAACTCAAAAGCAGCTTTGTGTTGAATCTGCAAGCTCGGTGTGTAGTTAATTCTCAGTGATGAATATGTGCTTTGCTTTTTGAAGGCAATTTGGCTTGGAAATAAAATCATGGAAGTATGAAAATGCTGAACTGCACATGCAAAGTATGCTTCTGACTATTCTGATGGTAAGCTTGTGTGAATGTTAAAAATGTGGTAATTTGTTTATGCAATCACCCTCAGCTGTCTGTGATAATGTGCACTTATTTAGATGTAGAACTTCATACAAGTAAAAGCAGCTTCCAAAGTGCTGAGAGGTGTTGAAAAATACGGTTAGGAAACCGGACCTTTGTAAAATCAGTCTGAAAGTCAAAGGAGGAACTAGAGAAAAAAATAAAATTTCTCCAAGGTAAAATTCGTCCAAGGTCGCAGCTAAATATTATGTTGTATGTCTTTATGATTCCTACGAGGTTGCTTTGCAATCTGCATATGTATATATGGAATTCTCCTTTTTGAGAGGGCTAACATTGCTTGACAGCTGTTTCCTGAAGAGTAACTATACTCATTTTTTAATACATTACAGTATTTAATAAATGAAATAATTTTCTGAGAATTGTTAAAATATTTAAATTTCACTAAAAAAGCAGAAAATACTGCAGTGCTGAGTGGCCAAGGCTGGGCTGGCCTGTGGGCTGACCCGCTCCGTTTTCATGGGTGCTGAGAGTGTGTTTGTCTTGTCCTGGGTCAGCACTCACAAGAAAAACCCTCAGCAAGAGCAAATCTCTGGCACATTAGCTTTTGTGTTGCTGAGAATTACTTCCAGACCCTTTTACCTCATTAAAGGGCATTACTACTGCTTTTAGTGTAGAAATTGCCATTCAAGCTGAGAATTCCCTCCGCCCCGATCTTTCTTATTGGTGTTACAGGTGGGTGGGGTAGCTGTTTGAAATTGTGACTCATATACTCTTGTGTGTTTTTAATTACTACTGGAAGAATAAAACCAACAGAGATAAGACAATAGCCTGACTCCAAAGTTTCAGGCAGGCTGGTAATCTTCGGCTGCCTCCAGGGGTGCTGGCCTGATGGAACAGGCTTTTCATCGGAGATTAGCATCCCATGCCGCAAGTATCTTTAAAGAAATGGTGCAAATGAGGAAAAAAAAAAAAAAAGAGGGACAGCTTTCCAGAGCACATAATCACTCCCAATCTCTGTAAATATCTACGTTTTTCTACACTGTTAAATGAGCAGCTGTGAATCATAAAAGAGCTGCCATTAAGGAGATCTATTCTTTCCAAAGGCAGCTCCCTTTCAGTTTTAAACTCGGTTTAAGTGACATTGTTAGACACAATCAACATGTGACAGGCAGATGCTCCTCAGCTTAAGTTTCTTCACTAGTTTGTTGAATTCCACTCCCTTTCTACATATTTGTATTTTTAATGAAAAAAAAAAGCTTTTGTATGTTACTGGGTACTCCTCGACAAAAATCTCTTCTATGTTTCTTGCTATTCTTGCTATTCTTTATATCGACAAGAAAATTCTATTATTTTAGCTAAAAGGTTATTTTATCCTTGGTAATTCAATGGTTTTAAATTTCTTTAAGTTAATGATCTTATTCTATTTATTAGCTTAAGGAATGTTACGATATTCTGTAGATCATAAAAATCACTACTTATACAGAAGTTGTGTCAGTTTTGAAATTCTAATTGATAAATTGCACATGAGCAGCACAGATGATAAGATAACACACCCACCTTTGGTTGAGGAACTCACACTGCCATGACACATGCAGTCCTGTAAATCCCTTTACTTTTCTAAGGTGAAGACTTGCCCTAAATTTCTAGCTTACTTTTAACATGAGATAAAAGCCAATGTTTTGTTTTTGTCAGCTACCTCCTGGATACCTAGTACTGCCATTTATGCTGTCCTGGCACACAACATGGTATCGGAAGACCATTCCTCATTTCAGGAAGTGAACAAAAGATACACCTAAGTCCACTTCTAAAGGTAAAAAGTGTTTCCAGTTACAGGAGCAGTAACCACCTTTTGCATTATAATTATTGCTACTCTTAAAACTTCCTATGGTCATTGAAACCTTAAACTTTGGATCAGGTTTGTTCAACGCTCTTCTTGAAGTTCTTGAAAGGAGTCCAGTGTCTCATAGACTCATCAAACATTTATTCTCCAAGAAGTAACATTTGACCAGTTCATGGGGAGCAATATACCAACACATGGGATAAAGTCCACCGGCGTGGTTCCTCTGCTTTGAAACTGTGATGAATGAGTATTACTGCCCTGATAAAGTATATCCTAATTACCAGGAGCGAATGCGCTCTTTTCTTTCTAGTCCCAACATCTGGCATTCCTCTACCTGCCTACAGTCCTTCCAAACTACCGTTTACTTCACTGAATAGAGTACTTTGGACTTTTTAAGGATGTGGCAGAGCAGCTGGTAACAACTCTAAGTGCACATGCCTGAGCAGACAAAGTAAGGTATGTCCTGCAGGAAACGGTATTTGTAATTTAAAAAACTAAAAAAAAAAAAAAAAAAAAAAAAAAAGGATGAGGGAGAAGGATCCTGTAGATAAAAGAAATTAATTTTCCAAATGGTTTGCAGGGCATTGGTGCTTGGTTTTGCAAGGAGAAAGGTTTTTTTATTCCTTGATTCTGGATCTGGCAGGAAGCAACTTAGTAGAACTGCAGGAGGGAAGGCAAGTTAAAAAAAAAAAAAGCGCACTTGAATTCAGAGAGTCCCATTAAATAGAAAACCAGCAAGGCCAACCACATTGCTGTTGCAGTGGCCTCCTGTGATGCAGCAGCAGTTCTAGTAAAAGCTACACAAACACCATCCTCCCTGCAGCTGTGTCATCTCCTGACACAGCAATGGAAGCTGCAGCTGCTCTGGCAGCAGTTTCAGTGAAAGGAACAAGGAGATCAACAAGACGCCTGGTTGGACCATAAGAAACCAAGATATCAGGAGGATATAGTGAGGAAGCAACCAAAGGAAAATAAGGCTATTTTCACACAAAAAAAAACCCCAAACCAACAAAAAACAAAAACCCAAAACAAAGCCCAAACCTGGTAGAAGTATCTCTTGGAGACTTTTGAGTGGCTGAGATCTGACTGGTGCAGGCATGAGCTGGCTACTGATAGAGCTCCTACCTCAGGGTAGGTCCCAGCCCTCACCTTAAGCAAAGCAGACGACAAACTGCCGTCCTGTGCCACCTCAGATTGAGTGGAGAAACTTATTATTGCTATAAGCAGAAGATGTTTTCCCTCACATTCCCATCAGTGGCAGAGGCCACTGGTGGCTTACTGGGCTGTCTCCACCATTTTCCGTATTTGAAACAAACTCAGGTCAAGAAACTTCCACTCACTGGTGTGGCTGTAGCACCTGTAGTTCTGAGCATCCACTTTGTATAAACTGCTCACACTGGCTTACGCCAACGAAATAAAAAATAGCTTCACATTCACCTCAAACTCAATCTCTGCAGTTACATATAGATTTTTTTTTTAACTCTTAACATGCCTCTTTCAGGTGACATTTGCATTATTAGGTGTCCTTCAGGTAACATACAGAACATACATTCCATGCTGGACTATTTTAGCATGGTCATATCTGGAGAGAAAGCAAAATAATGGCAAAACATACCTACTTGGGTTTTTTTCAATAATTTTTTTTTTTATTCTGTGCTCCACTGACAAGTGCAGCACATTATACTGTGTACAAACCAATACCTGAGACAGAGCTCAACGCCAAAGAACAAAACAGCAGAACAGAAAAACGATGATGGGGAAAAAATACAACTCTAACTCCTCTTGAAGCTGTTTGATATGGCACAAAGCCTGGGACTCTTCTGGTGTATTCAAAACTAAATTCCCGGAGAAGTTAACATCTAGTGGATTTGGTTTGTTTCTCGGGAGTCTTCCCTGAGTGCTTCCAGTATTTTAGACCAAATGCAATGATAACATATTCCAGTAACTGATGTGCTTGGATCTGCTGCCAACTTTCTTTCTGATGTAGTTCATACACTCAGATGCAGAGCAAGCTGTCTTTGGTAACTTCACTTTACATCCAAAGATCCAGAACTACTATTTTTCTAGTTACATAAACAAATGTTGAGCTTCATAAAAAGGTGTGCTCCAAGACGCTCAGAGGTTACATAACGTATAAATATGAGGGCTTGTTTGTCTAATTAAACTCTCAGAAGAGAGAGAGGAAGAGAATGGATATAAACAAACCAGTAAATATCTATGAAAACCTGAGAGGTGGAAAGCTGCTTCTACTATCATAAAGTCTGCAATCTCATAATCTAGAACAAATGGCTACCTGAAACTATTTCCAAGAACTTTTTCTCTGTAGCTTTTTTCCAACTTACTTTTTTCTCATGGCTCAGATGAATTATTCCTATCCAGCTTATTTTTTTCCTACTTAAAAACCGTGTAAGAATCTGACCAGGATTTATCCAAGTGTATCTATGGTACAACCAAGATAATTTAAAGTACTAAATTCACATACTTTCAAGACTCATTTTCTTGTGGAGCACCTGTCCTGCATTCATCATTTCTGAATACCTGTCTTAGGGGTGTGAAAGACGGAACTGAGATTTAGGTTGAATTCTTAAAATGCACAGCTTATCTTCACCCCTTTCCATGGATATGTCCAAGTATTACCTATGAATACAGTGATTGTATTCCTCTTGTACAAATTCCAATGCCTAGTCTCCCATCTGGTAACTGAAAACAAGCGTTCAGCAGAGCTGCAGAAGAGCCCATGTTTTCCACGTAAGACTTTTGTTTGCTGAGCAATAAATAGCTCTTTTGCCTGGGAAAACCATCACAAGGTTTAATGACACAGACCACGTAGAAACTTTGATGAGAACTAGAATCTTCCTGGCAGGGTCTGGAATTTAAGAATACTCACACAATTTGAATCCAAAAATATATTGCCTACTATGTGCATCATCAGACGGCTGTATGAAATTCTTAACAGAAGAACAAGTTAAATTTCCAAACAATTTTATTATGATGCTGAAAATAAAAAGCTATTTGAGGAATACCTCTACTGAGCTTCCTAGTCCTACTAGAACATGGGAAGTTTTAAGATAAAACAAGTGCCTTTGACTGGAGAGCTCAACAAAGCCTTTCAAGCTTCAAAAGGAGACAGCCTACGTTTCTCCAAGGGGGTCAGTCATTCCACTGCTGCAAGCGGCATTCTGGAAGGTCCTCCATCCCCTGTTAGTGAAATCCTAACTTTCAATCACACCGTTCCAGCGTCATGGATCTTCTCTGGACTCTGGGTGAAAGTAAAGCAGTGGAGTCAAAAGGCTTCACACGGGGTGGAAGGCATCAAGGCTGTGGGGAACGCAGTTTGGAAAGTGGAGTCATGTGCTGCTCGGAATGGTCGGCTATGACTATCCAAAATAACACACATATGTAACTTGTGCTTCTTTTGCATTACACGAGTACTCCTTTTTAAAAAGGAGAACAAACCCCCTCCTACCTAGTATTTCTGAGGCTAAAAAAGAGGGAATAAATAAATAAATAAATAACTGACGTCCTTCTCTCCGCTCCCATGGAGCCCGGAGGACACAGCGCACACGGAGGTGTTCATTCCCAGCTTCCTGCCTCCCAGCAGCGCCGCGGGGGCACACCTCCCGCTGAACGCCAGCCTGTCACGGGAGGCGGCGACACAACCCCTCCCCGCCCCGTCCAGGGGACAACCCTTCCTCACCAACCCACCCACGGCAGCTCCCCGCGGGCCGGGCACGGCGGCGTCCTCACCCGAGAGGAGGAGCGTTGCACAGCCCCGTCAACATCCCCCGCACTCGTCCCGCCGAGGGCTCCCGCCGCCCCCTCACCGCCAAGCGGCCCAGCCCGGCCCGTGGCCGCCCCATCGGGAGGGGAATCCCCGCCGAGGCCGCTCCACCGGCCGCGAGGCTGAGGCGGGGGGGGGGG